GGGACTCTGGGTGTAGGTAAAGCCAGCAAGATTTGGCCCTAAGTGACTATTAATCAGTGATGTAAATGCTGTGCCTTGGGAACTCAGTACATTAAGGGTATGTCTACACTGCACACGAAGTCTGATTCAGGTTTGAGCCCAAGTCCCGCTTCCATCTATACACAGATCAGTCTGACTCAGTCCAGCAAGCACTCAGGACCTGGGTCCTAGGACCCTGCTAGGGGGGTTGGGTCAGAGTCCGAGGCCCACTGTGACTCAGGTCTAAACCCTGTCATTTTGCAGTATGAACACAGTGGCCCAAAGCCCACCCCCTAGTCAGAAAGTCTGTGTAGCGCAGCAAGACCCAGGTCCAGCAATTGTAAGCCCAGGCTTATAGTGAAGTGTGGACACTTAAGCCTGGAAACACTGAGTCCACAAGCCCAGGCTCCACAGACCCACATTTACAATGCAGTGAGGTATTCCTTAAGGGGGCACTTAGACTGCCGCCAGAACTGGAGCCACAACATCAGAGGGGAGTTAACTAAGAGGGTGATACCCATGGAGAACAAAGTGGAGAAGAAGACCCAAAAGGCAGCCACTGCTAGAAAAGCAGGGAAAGAGGCGGCTGCTCTGGGGAGGAGGGAGGAATGTGTCAATTTCTTTGTAACTTGCTCACTTGTAATAAACAGCGTGAAAGAAAAGCAATCATAACTCTCTGTTGACAATATGCATTTTTTTCCTCCTGATATTTTGGCAAAGAGCCATGATGGCAAAGAGCTCCTGTGCAGCTGGACAGAAGACAGAGTAGGGCAGACGCTTGCAGAGGGACAGGATAAAGGCCTGAAGAAGCCATTGATTTACTTTCAGATTTTAAAAAATGTTCTTTTCTGAACCTAGTGAAGCAACACGACTGAACCACCAAATATTAGTAAACAGCATTTTGCTGGGAATGCGTTCCTGGAAGATATCTTGAGTATATTGGTCATGTATCAGTGTGCAGCTTGTGTCAACAGTAGAGGCGGGAGGAGTCTAGTCTGGCTATATCCTTCCTAAGGCATTCTTTGTCAATACTTCACACTTGGCGCAATCTGGTCCATTGCAAAGACAAACTGATTCTGCTGAAATATTTTTACAAGGCCCAGTGATATGTCACCTCTGGCAGGGATGATTTAGCAAAGTCCACCTGAGGCAAGAAAATCATCCCCACTTCCCTGTAATCTAGTGATGGATTTTTTTAACATGAGCCTCCCTGCAGTGTGCTGCTGCTAAAATATTTATCTTCGTTAATGACAATGGTCTCAAAAGCCCTGGCTTTGACATTTTACCTTAGTGCACAAGGGTTTGTGCTGTCTAATAAATACACGCCATAGACTTTGTGTGCACCGTGCATTCAGTGGACTCTGCATTCCCCCCAAGTCACTGTAGTTTAAGATCAAGTCACTCATTGCTGGCCCCATTTAGTGTCTGATGTAATCTTAGGGGGCTGGAGTGCCAAGATAGTTTCAAACATTTGTTATAAGCTACGTTAGTTGGCCGGTTTAATATAATACCAGATTCTGCATCCACAACCAAGCCACGTATTGCAGACGGGGCTTTTACCCATTCATAAAACTGGGTGTACTGTCACTAGGGTAAAGATTTCATTATTCCAGCGTGCCAGAAAATGATCATCTTTCCAATTATTTTATATCAGAATCCAAATACATATTTTAGCAATGTCAGAATTAAGATAAAATACATGCATTAAGCTTATGAAACAAGCAGCAAATGTTGTGCAGACATTGTATACACACTCTGTAGCTAGCTAATAATGCCCAGAAAAACTGTCAGTCAGTGCAAGCATTTAATTTAAATCTTGGCCACTCTAAGTTTTACAAGTTCTTGGCCTCCCTTTTCAGCTGTTACTGTTTTGTAGTTCTTGCCCAATTGTGCGTTGTTTTCACCGTTTATACATTTTAGGCTGGTCTTGCTGTGTAATGTATGAAAGGTTCGTAAGTGAATGATCAAAGTCTTCCTTGAACTATGATGTAAATGACTGTAAAGTATTCGTGTGTGCTTGACTCATGATATCAAAGCAAATGTGACACGTCTCTGTGGTAAAGTATTGCATGCGGGTGTGCATGTGTAAGATACTTTAGATAGATAATTAATTTTTTTAGCATACACCTTTTCCTGTGTAGGCCTAGACAAGCAAACTTTTTGGCCCAAGGGCCACATTGGGGTTGCAAAACTGTATGAAGGGCCAGGTAGGGAAGGCTGTGCCTCCCCAAACAGCCTGCCCCCCACCCCCTATCCGCCCCCTCCCACTTCCTGCCCCCTAACTGTCCCCCTCAGAACCCCTGACCCATCCAACCCCCCTTCCCCCCTCCGCTCCTTGTCCCCTGACCGCCCCCCCCCGGAATTCCCTGCCCCTAACCACCCCCCGGGACCTCACCCCCGATCCAATCCCCCCCCTTCTCCCTGTCCCCTGACCCCTATCCACACCCCACCCCTGACAGGCCCCCTGGGACTCCCACACCTATCCAACCGTACCCCGCTCCCTTACCATGTTGCTTACAGCAGCAAGAGCTCGCAGCCCCGCCGCCAAGCCGGAGCCAACCCCGTCGCCACGCTGCCTGGCAGGAGCGGCAGGCCACAGGGGGCCCTATGAAGCTAAGTTGCTCAGGCTCCGGCTTCAACCCTGGGTGGCGGGGCTTGGAACCCCAGGCTTCAGCCCCGTGCAGTGGGGCTTCAGCTTTCTGCCCCTGGGCCACAGCAAGTCTAATGCCAGCCTTGCTTGGCAGACCCCCTGAAACCTGCTCGGGGGCCCCCAGTGGGACCCAGACCCCTAGTTGAGATCCACTGGTCTTGAAGGCAAGATCCAAGGAAGGCTAGGGAGAATACTAAACCATCCCCTAAACTGATCAGGGAGAGTCAACCAGTGGACATGAACAAAAATGAATCTCTTGACTAGAAAAGAGGTGTGGGGGGAAGCAGGGGAAGAGAGCGAGAGAAGCAGAGCTCAAACTAGGGGACACATAGGAGCCAGATGTGGAGTGAGAACAGGAAAGTTCAGCTCAGAAGGCCAAACAGGGACATGGCTGATCTCATGCTATAAGATTCATTGATCTCTACATAACCTGTACAATTTGCCTCTCCAGCAAGGTTGAGTGTAACCTTCGACACGGGCATGGCTTTGCAATTTACATTTATTTACTCCCTCTCCATTCTTCCTGTTGAACTAACATACTGTATTTAAGCTAAATCAGAGTTGGCGAGGGTTTGGGGAGTTATTGCTGCCATCTATTCCGAGGGGAAGTAAATGATCCTTCAGCCTATAGAGGAGGAGACCAGAATTGGGCATCTAGATCTAATTCCAGCTTGGAGTCTCAGTCAAGGGGTCCTTTCCTAGAAACTAATGTTAGCAAATCTGGCTGCAGTCAGACCAGAGCATGTCCAAAGTCCAATGACTGTGGATCAGAGTTTGAAATGAAAAGGTAACAGACCCCGGAAAGGTCTTTAAAATACCAAGTGTTTAAAAATGACCCGCTCTCAAAAATCAACTGATCAATTTCCTTTGCAAACTTTCACAGAAAAATTCAGCCATCCTGTGGAATTAATTACAAAATATTTCAAACCACATCTTTCTTTCTGAGCTAAGTAATCAGAGGAGTGAAAAATCAAGCTTTTAATGGAGCCATGTTTCAACCTAAATCCTGTTTACAATCTAAATTATGAAACCTTTCTCAAGCAACTCTATAATGGTGCTTTGCACTTTTATAGCATAGTCCCTAATATCAGAGGATCTCAACCCTCATGACAAACATCATAGTAGTTTGGCCTCAACAACCTCCTCATATAGGAAAGTACTGTCATCTCCAACAAGGAAGGATGGTCCAGTGGCTAAAGCGCTAGCTTTGGACACAGGAACCTGGGCTGACGAACTTCTTGTGTGACTTTGTGCAAGTCACTAAGGAAAAGGCTTGTGCAAGTCACACAGAGGCTATCTATAAAATAGGGATAACAGCACTTCCCTTCCTCACAAGGGTGTTTGTGAGTGGGGAAAATACATGAAAAGATTGGGAGGCACCCAGTTATGATGGTCCCAGGTGATTGGGGCCATAGTAGATGGATTTCTACATAGATTTTACAGAGGAGGAAAATGAGGCAGGGAGAGATTAATGAATTTGCTCAGTCACAAAAAAAGTCTAGAGTTAGAGCAATGCCTCTCACTCCTGCACTTCCACCACAAGAATTATAAACTGGGGCCTGACACATGAGGCTACAACACTGTTTTTACAAGACCTGGATTCAAATACCGGTAAGATTCCATGTTCCATCCATGACCGTTGCTCAAGTCGGGACTGCATCACCTGGTCTGGATGTTTACACAGAGCAGCCGTAAACATTAGAAATAATTATCTTGGACTTCCCGTTTTTACTGGCAATATTGATCACATTCCATGCAAAGAAGCTTTATCCAGTCCCACATCTCATCCTGGATCTCCTGTCACTATCAAAACGCGGACATGGCCAAATCTGAATGCCTTATTTTTCCTTCCAAATACACAGCTTTCCCTTCATTCTCTGTCATGGATAACACCACCCCCTTCTCCTCTTGTCCACTCAGGCTCATAACATAAGGACCCTCTTTGATTTTTCCCTCTCCTTTGCCCCATATATCTATACTGTATCCAAATCTTGCCTCTTCTTCCTCCATAAAATATCAAGGATTCAACCTTTTTCTGTGTCTCCATACAGCTAAAAATCTCTTCCAGGCCTCCTTATCTCCCTTCCCTATCCAGCTAGTTTTGTGGGAAATAAGTCATATTTTATACATTCAGTCACCACCAATAGCAGCTCTGCTTTATGACGTCATATGCCCACATCACATATAAAACAATGCTAAGGGTTCTACATCATCCAACTAAAGAGAACTAGGGTATCTCAGATGACCACCATGGAATGTACAAGAACAAGCTGTTAGCATGTGTGATGCACAGTCAATTTCAGTTTAGAAATCACTTGTTGCCTCTGGCACCATGGATGATGCTGCAATCCTTAAAAAGAGAGGCTATGTCTTGGGAATCAATCTGGGAGAAGGGTCATACGCTAAAGTGAAATCTGCCTACTCTGATAGACTGAAATTCAACGTGGCTGTGAAGATAATCAACAAGAAAAAAGCTCCTCATGACTTCCTGGAAAGATTTCTCCCCAGGGAAATAGAGATTCTGGCCAAAGTGAATCACCGTGCAATTGTCAAGACCTTTGAGATTTTTGAGACATCTGATGGCAAAGTCTACATCGTGATGGAGCTTGGCGTACAAGGAGACTTATTGGAGTTCATCAAGAGCAGAGGGGCCATCTCTGAGGATGTAGCTCGCAAGATGTTTCGCCAGCTGTCTTCTGCCATCAAGTACTGCCACGATTTGGATGTAGTCCACAGGGATTTGAAATGTGAGAACCTCCTTCTAGACAAAGACTTTAATATCAAACTGTCAGACTTTGGCTTTTCCAGACGACTGACTCGAGATGAAAAAGGCAAAGTTATTCTCAGTAAAACCTTCTGTGGTTCTGCTGCGTATGCAGCCCCTGAAGTGTTACAGGGCATTCCCTATGAGCCTAAGATTTATGACATATGGAGTCTGGGTGTCATTCTGTTTATAATGGTCTGCGGATCAATGCCTTACGACGACTCAAACATTGGAAAAATGCTAAAGATTCAGAAAGAACACAGAGTGCACTTTTCCAACTCCAAAAGCTTGACAGTTGAGTGCAAAGATCTTATTTACCGCATGCTGCAGCCAGACGTGGCTCGGAGGTTGCACATAGAGGAAGTTTTTAATCACAAGTGGCTGCAGACTCCAAAACCCAGAGTTCCTTTGGCAACTTCATTTGTAAAAGAGGGAGAGTGTTCTCAGAAGCTCAGAGAGTTGAAGTCAGAGCACAGACAGGAAATAGAGCGCGTGGGGGAATCTAAGGCAGATCGACCAGATTACAAAACTGAGTTTAAAGCAGTGCCCAGATTGGAAGCAGTAGCGGAAGCAGAGGATGCCATTCCCGAGGAAGAGCAAGCAGAAGTTAATGATGTTACAGATCACATGCAAAAAATAGGTATCAAAAATGGTGATGATTAAATGATAGCCAAGTATTTTATCTAGCCCCCAAAAGACTAATTGACAAGACTATGAAGTGAGGAGTATGAAAAGGGACCAAAGCAGAAAGATGTAAAAAACAATTTTATGAATTCTTTTAGATCTCTATATTGGTAGCAACATAGCTGAACAATCCATCAATAAATCACTTACATTCATAATAAAAGTGTAAATGTAACCAAAGGAGTATTTTTTTCTCCTAGTCAGATCTGGCTGCAGAATGGTGTAGACACTGCCACAATGCCTGGCTTCTTTTGCTACATGTCTCCTGTCACTGTGAAGCTGTTATGAGATCTGTCATCATTTTGATGTTTGGGAACTCATTGAGTTGTAGCCAGCCTCTGACAGCCTGTTTCCTAAAAGAGTGGAATTAAAAGCTATTGTCTCCTTCCATTAATCGTATCTTTGAGCTGGTTCTCAGTGCCAATTCCTTAAGTCATCTGAAAATGCATAGCTGGACTTGGAAAGACCTCATGCTTCTAAGCAGGTCATCATGGCCAGTTCTGCCCATACGGGTGAATTCAGGCTTGACAAGACCGAGGTCCACCAAAACGCTATGGGGCTGCAACTGTGTTTATGTGGCTTCTATGCAGGCAGGAGCTTAAAGGTACATTTTGACACACACTTGCATATCTCTACTATAGCTACATGAACGCTGTGGGGTTTCATTTTTGATGGGGTCCATCAAATCAGCTCTGTTGTTTCGTTCACAGGGGGTTGGAGGTAAAACACCCCCTGCGTGCTCTGATGGAGGCTTGGCTTTGCAAAGACAAACTTCCATCTGAATAGCCACTCCCTCCCAAGCTCTGGAATGGCACCTCGAGGGCACCTCTTTTCTCCCACCTCTTTCTGTACTGTGGGCTCCCCTCCTGCAGTTTGCACCATGGTGAAATGTAGGGGGAAAAAACCAAGATTGAATTCTGCAATTTACAAAACAATTGCACGGGAGTTTCCCTTTGGGCTGAAGAATCAAAGGTTGCCTTTGGTCAAGATGGACAACAGCACAAGTAGCTGCAGCCTCCCTACCCCAACTCTGCCTATACTGACAGCCCTGATTGTTGCACCAGGTCTATAGAACCAGCCAAGAGATTTTTATTGATTGATTTTTGCATCATTCCCAGGTTCATTTGGTCCTGAACGGCGGCCTCCTAGTTGGAATTATTCTGCCATGTTTCCTAGTTCTGTGCAAAGCTGTTCCCATGTAAGGTTGTCCCATTTAGCTTGCATGTAAGGATGCAGCAAGTCTTGCTTCAGACAGGATCTCACACTAGCCTAATTATTTTAATGTAATGCCACCTGAGGGGTTTCCTGGTAAAGTGGGTTAATGCTCTAGTCTCATCTCTGGGGACCCAGATGCCCAGCCTGATTAAGGCAAGTGTAAAGAAGTCGGATGGATTTACTGTAGGTTTTACTATCCACCCCACCAAAGCATTCATACAAGGTCTTCTAGTACTAGTTCCCCTTTAAACATTTCAGCTGGAAGTACTGCATGCTGTGGATGTGGTTTTGTAGACATTGGAACTAGAGTTCCAAGCACGTATTAAAAAGGGCTGACGGAGGCCCAGAGGGATGTCTCTGAGAAAAGCAACGCAGGTGAAACCAGGATAACATACTGCACTAGATCGCTGCCTCTCTTTCATAAGAATGAAGAACTCCCCCAAGCCATTAAAAAGAGAGAGTGGTGAGGAGGAGATGGAAGGCAAGTTAGCGCCACTGATGCCATTCCAATGTCCAGAAAGGCACGTTAGAGATGGCAGTGATGTGCGTTCAGACTCCAGCACATACGCCCATTACTGCTCTGTCTCTCTCTATCCTCTATGGATCTTAGACGTTTTTTCTATTCTTGACAAACTACTGAGGACTATGCCAGGGTTAGCCAGGACCTGCACTCAGCTTGGACTTTTGGTTCTTAAGTACTGTCATCCCTCATGCTGGCAACTTCTCCCTCTCACAAAAGCAGCTTATGCTGTGCCAAAAACAATTATGCTAAGTATCAGATCCTCTCCAGCATTCCTTTGACTTCCCCAGAGATCGACCTGATTGCAACCTACATATTAACGTAGCACTTACATGGCACTTTACATCTTCTGAGAGCTTGTACAGATGTTAATTCATTTGCACAACATCCCTGTGCAGCAGCCAAACAAAATCACCCCCACTTTGCAGGTGGGTCAGCTGAGGCATGGATACCTGAAGGTAATCACCCTGGGTCACACAGCAAGTCACTGGCAGAGGTGAGATTAGAAATCAGGTTTGCCTGGCTCCTAATCCCAAATACAAGACACTAGCTCAAAATGCCTTTAGCTCCAGGGGCAGCCCACCACAAAACTAGTCTATTGAACAGATTTCTCTCTGGTTACCGAACCTGGCTTTGTAGAAATGTTGGCACAGTTGGGGAACAGCATTCTGTTCCTCTCTGACTCCCTTGTCATGTGTGATATTGACAACCACACCTTTGTATTAATGTAGATCTTATCTGGTCTATCCTGCAGTGAGCTGCTTCAGGCCTCTGTATCCACTGGCTCTTTGCTCATCTTCGCTGGAACATGTTTTACATCTACACACAGCCCCTTGGCAGTCATTATTCAGGGAGTTGCTAATGGCCCTAGCTTAGTCAATGACTCCCAGCCCCTATTTCAGTTCCTCTGCAGAGACTAAGGTTTAGAAGATGAATGATTACTTTGAGATGAACACAGAGAAAACAGAACCATTGCTGATCATCCCTTCCCAGCACCGCTGGTCACTGTCGTCTCCTAAGAGATCTAAACTGTGTAATATTGGAGGCACCTGGGAGGCCATATTGATCAGGCAGTAAAGAAATGAAGGTTCATTACCTGTAACTGGAGTTCTTTGAGATGGTCTTTGTGCATTCACACACCTGGGAGGCGCTGGCGGGTCCACTTCAGACAGTGGAACCTTTTCATAGCAGTGGCCATTGGAATGCTCACATGACCCTCCCCTCTACATTCCTGAACGTTCGGAGGGTGAAGCTATAAAGGCGGGATAGGGGTGGAGTCCTCTGATGCATCAATTCCTTCCACCACCTCCTCCAAGTCAAGTTCTATGAGGACTTAAAGGAAGAGATGAAGATGGGCTGGAAGTGTGACTATGCAGAGTCTAGCTCCAAGAAGTCCAGATACAGGTAAGGCCAGGTCTACGCTACAGCTCCATATTGGTAGAACTGTGTCACTCAGGGGTGAGAAAAGTCCACACTGCTGAATGACGTAGTTGTACCCACCCCCCCGACAGTGCTATGTCTCCAACATAGCTACCGCCTCTTGGGGAGGAGGATTAGCTATGGGGGTAGGAGAAGCTCTCCTGTTGGCATAGGAGCATCTACACTAAAGCGCTACAGTGGCACTGTGCACAAAGAGAAGCCTAAGTAACCTTCATTTCTTCAAGTATCTGCTGCATATTCCCACTCCTGGGGTAGTTTGGCAAAAGGTACCCCATAAATGGAAAGTGAGATTCAGAGTTCTACTGACTAGGAATTGAAGTGCTCTACCAAACTGAGCAGCTGATGTAGATTCTAGCTGTAGGGAGTAGTGCTTTGTAAATGTATGTACAGAGCTCCAAGCAACAATCCTACAGATTTCCGCAATAGCAATACATCTAAACCATGCTATGGTGAAGGTAGCCATTGCTCTGATAGAGTGTGACCTAACGCCTATGCAGGGTGGAGTAGATGCTAGTTTACACTTTCCTCTGTGCACTAACTGACACTAGACAACATCTGTGAAGCAACAGCATGACCTTTATGTCTGCATGTGAAATAAAGAGACTAGAAAACTTACAAAATCCTTGACTTCTGTTTAAATCTGTTTGTCCAGTTTTAGAAATGTTATTCCATGAGATAAAATGAACAAGGACATGCTTATAATGTTGCTTCTAAAATACATTCTATTTGCTGGAGAATAAAAACGCTCTCTTAACAGCCAAAGAACACAGCTTTGACTCACCTGTGTGAGCATGAAATCTAAGGGGAAATACTGGCAGCTTTATCGCTTGGTTAATGTGAAAATCACATACCACTTTGGGGAGGAATCTAGGGTTAGGGTACATCACCATCTTATCCTTGTGAAAGATGGTGAATGGAAGCTCAGCCATGAAGGCACAGAGGTTACTCAGGCCCCTGGCAATTTGCCACTGTAATTCCAAGCGCTACCAATGAAAACACCGTTCTACTGATTGAATCCATCTTCTTTCTCTCCCTATCAGAAAGTCTGGAGGGTGATTGTCCTCCTCTGGATCTTTGGACAGCTACTGCCACAACCAGAGAGCTAAGGTAAGGTGCATGTGAATGAATGAAAACCCTTTGTAGGATAAATGATATCATGTGTCAGTATTTTTTGATGTAGCCTGACATGATGGACGAGTAGACCACACTGCTTTCACAGGATGCAGTAGTCCACGGAAGGGTAATCTTATTCTTGATGGAAGAACCAGAATGGAAGGTTTCTTGCAGAGTGATCAGTGTCATCACCCTACAGTTCTAGAACTTATGGACAGAAAAACATCCTCAGAAGGAGAGGAAGCCAAAGCAACCCCAACATTTGCAACTGGGGGAAGATTCAGCATCAAGTTCTGGCTCCAACTCTTGATATTCTTCCTGAGCTGCAGGCCACTCGTCTTCTTCTGACGGAGCGTGACGGACTAGGATTGGAGAATGCTCCCTGAAAGCAAGTGACATTGACAGAACTGGGAATCTTGAAACTTTTCTGGACCCTTAGTAGGGCAGGGGTTCCTACACTGATGAGAACGTGGATTATTTCTGTAGTGCCTAGGTGAAAGCTAATAGGGCCATCCAGGCCAGGGAAGTACCTGCCAATCATGACAGTTTGTTGAACTGTTGGCTGCATGACTGGTGTGAAGCTGAAGGGTCTGGTTTTGTGGAACATTGGACCCTATTCAAGTGGAAGAGGGGTCTGTATGAACAGGACAACCTGCATCTCACACTTAGTGGGGGATAATCTTGGTTGGAGGCCAGCTGGAGCAGCCAGGAGGACATTAAACTAGCAACACACAGGGAGGGAGCTAAGAAGGCAAACATAGTACAAACTCAAATGCAGCTTGTCACAAAAAAATTGAACCTATGTGGCACAGAATGCAGAAAAGAAGAAAATTTTCTATTGCTTATATAGCAATGCTAGGAGGTCTGGGGGCCAAGCAAGAGGAATTGGAATTCTCAGGGATGAAGAGAAAATGGATCTATTTTGACTTTCTTGAAACCTGGTTGGATAATTCACATGATTGGAATATTAAAATTAGTGGTTAAAAGCTGCCTAGGAAGAGTAGGGGGTAAGAGAGATGTACACTCTACATTAGAGACTTCATCACCTGATTAGAGCTGTTGATGACTCAGAATTACAGGATCTTGAATGCTAACAAAGCCCAGGAGATAGTACTAGTGGGAGTCCATCATAGATCATTGAATCAAACTAGAGAATAGGATGTGAGACTCCTTAAGTACCTGTCTGCACTGTGTGGAGAGAAAAATTGTGTTATGGGGGTTGTCAATTTGGGAGACACAGGCTGGAGGGCTACTTAAGGCAGAAGTGAAACATCATATATAATTTTAAAACACAAAAGGTACTGTGCCCAACATGAGGTAACCGTTTTGGACCTTTATGACTGAGCAAGATGAATTAATCACTAAAAGAAGTTGTTGGTTGCCTAGGAATGAGTGATCCTAACCTGATTCCATTCAATACAGGCACACACAGGACAGTCCCAACCAGTAATAAATATACTTGGTGCTTCAAAATGAACAATTCCCAGATATGAGCAAAATTATGAGCAGAACTGATTGGGAGAAAAAAATTGGACTGAAAAACATGAATGAAAATGAACATAAGAACAGTCATACGGGGTCAGACCAAAGGTTCATCTAAGCACAGTATCCTGTCTTCTGACAGTGGCTAATACCAGGTCCCCCAAAGGAAATGAACAGAACAGGTAATCATCAAGTGAGCCATACCCAGCCACCCATTCCCACCTTCTGGCAAACATAGGCTAGGGACACCATCCTTGTCCATCCTGGCTAATAGCCATTGATGGACCTATCCTCCATGAACTTATCTAGTTCTTTTTTGAACCCTGTTAGTGTCTTGGCCTTCACAACATCCTCTTGCAAGGAGTTCCACTGTGCGTTGTGTGAAAAAATACTTCCTTTTATTTGTTTTAAACCTGCTGCCTATTAATTTCATTTGGTGACCCCTAGTTCTTGTGTTATGAGGAGTAAACAACACTTCCTTATTTACTTTCTCTACACCAGTCATGAGTTCATAGATCTCAATCATATCTCCCCCTTAGTCGTCTCTTTTCCAAGCTGAAAAGTCCCAGTCTTATTAATATCTCTTCATATGGCAGCCGTTCTATACCCCTAATAATTTTTGTTGCCTTTTTCTGAACCTTTTCCAATTCCAATACATCTTTTGAAATGGGGCAACCACCTCTGCACTCAGTATTCAAGATGCGGGCATACCATGGTTCTATACGGAGGCAATATGATATTTTCTGTCTTATTTATCCCTTTCCTAATGATTCCCAACACGGTCAGCTTTTTTGACAGCTGCTGCACATTGCATAGGTGTTTTCAGAGAACTATCCACAATGACTCCAAGATCTCTCTCTAGTGATAACCGTTAAGTTAGACCCCATCATTTGATATGGATAGTTGGGATGATGTTTTCTAATATGTATTACTTTGCATTTATCAACATTGAATTTAATCTGCCATGTTGTTGCCCAGTCACCAGTTTTGTGAGATCCCCTTGTAGCTCTTCGCAGTCTGCTTTGAACTTAACTATCTTGCGTAGTTTTGTGTCCTCTGCAAATTTTGCCACCTCATTGTTTACCCCTTTTTCCAGATCATTTATGAAGATGTTGAATAGAACTGGTCACAGTACAGAGCCCTGGGGGACACCACTATTTACCTTTCTCTAGTCTGAAAACTGACCCTTTATTCCTACTTTGTTTCCTATCTTTTAACCAGTTACTGATCCATGAGAGGACCTTCCCTCTATGACAGCTTAATGGGGAGTTCTTTAAGTAGGGTTTATTAGATGGCCAAAAAGCCACAATCAAGAAGTAGGACAACTTTAGCTAAAAGCACATCTTGGTTCAGTGGCAAAGTGAAAGCAGCAATTAGAAATAAAAAAGCAACCTATAACAAATGGAAAAAAGGAGAAATAGCCATCCCTATAAATTAGAAGTTATGAAGTGTAGAAAATTGGTATGGGAAGCTAAAGATATCAGAGAAAAATCTATGGCTGGTGGGGCTAGAGACAGTAAGGCGTTCTTTAAGTTATTAGGAAATAAATAAATCCTAGAAAAGGTATAGGCCCGTTACTAGGTGGAAATGGTAAAATTATTAGTAATGATGCAGAAATGTTCACTAAATATTTCTGTTCTGTATTTGGAAAGAAGCAGGATGATGGGCTTGTACCACGTAAGGATGATGAGGTGCTTTCCAGTCTATTAGTAACCGAGGATGTTAAACATCATCTACTATGGATAAACACTTTGAAATCAGCCAGCTTGGATAATTTACACTTAAGAGTCCTATAAGAGTTGGCTGAAGAGATCTCTGTCCCACTGACAATTTTTAATAAATCTTGGAATAGTTGGGGAAATTCTAGCAGACAGGAAGACTGCTAATGTGCCAATATGCAACAAGGGCAAGCAGATGACCTAGTTAGACTGACATGAATCCCTGGCAAGAGTGGGAAGCTGCTATAGGATTCAACTGGTAAAGAACTAAATGACAGGAATATATTGAATTCCAGTCCACATGGTTTTATGGAAAATAGGTCTTGTCAAACAAACCTGAGTTCATTTTTTCAGAAGATTATAAGTTTGGTTGATACAGGCAATGGTGTAAATGTAATAGACTTGGGCTTTAATAAGGCATTTGACTTAGTACCACAGCATTCTGATTTAAAAAATAGCACTAAACAATGAGCACACATTAAGGGGACTAAAAAACACCTGACAGGGCTTTAATGGGGAATCATCAACGGATGGAGGGAGTTCTGAGTGGGATCCAGCAGAGGTCCAACGTTATTCAACATTTTCATTAATGATCTGGAAGTAGATACAAAATCACTGCTGATCAGATTTTCAGCTGACACAAAGATTGGTGCAGTGGCAAATAAAGATGAGGATAGGACAATCATACAGAGAGAGCTGGGAACCTTCCAACAAACTGCATTTTAATACAGCCAAATGCAAAGTTACGCATCCAGGAACAAGGAATGAAGGCCATACCCACAGAACAGAGGACTGTATCTTGGAAAGCAGTGACTCTGAAGAAGATTTAAGGGACACAGTGGACAAGCAACTCAGCATGAACTCCCAGGAGAATACTGTGGCAAAAAGGGCTAGTGCAATCGTTGGACATATAAACGGGAGTAGTGAGTAGGAAGGTGATTTTTCCTCTGTATATGGCATTGGTAAGACTGATACTGGAATACTGCACTTAGTGCTCGTGTCCATATTTTTTAAAGGATTTGGAAAAATTGGGGAGGGTGCAGAAAAGAGCCACAAAAATTAGCTGAGGGCTGGAAAAAATGCCATACAGTGAGATACTTAAGAGCTCATTCTGTTTAGCTCAGTAAAAAGAAGATTAAGAGGTGATTTGATTTCAGATAATAAGTATGTTCACATGAAGAACACACCAGATACTAAAAAGTTCTGCGATCTAGCAGAGAAAGGCATAACAAAAACCAATGGCCAGAAGCTGAAGCCAGACAAATTCAAATTAGAAATAAAGCACAAATGTTTAACCGTGAGGGGGATTAAGCACTGGTATGAACTACCAAAGGGAGAGGTAGAGCCTTAATTTCTTGAGGTCTTCAAATGAAGACTGGATGCCTTCTGGAAGATATGCTTTAGCCATACAAAAGTTGTTAGGTTCAATATAGAGTTGAACTGGGTGAGATGCAATGGCCTCTGATTTTATGGTTCCGGCTGGCCTTAAAAATCGGTGAATCTCTGAATTGTTAAACAGTTAATTCATGAACATGACACCAACAGGTACTCATCATGGAGACCTTTCTAGTGATCTGAAGATATGTAATATTAACCGTAAATAATATTTATAATCTTCACCTTTAATGTCAGATTCACCAATATCCTCTGGCTGCTTTCTGCCACTCTGGAGCAATACAAAGTAACCAGTGTGTACTGGGCAAGTTAAACTGGGTTTACAGTTGCTCTGCATCTCCAGAGGAGCCCAAAGCTCCTCTGGAGCCCCAAGCAGTTGGAGTGTAGTGGGGAGTATGGCTTGTACTTTGTTTGAGCTATCCAGAATATTTTTTCCACATTTCATTCATATATTATACATTGCATGTATATTTCCAAGATATGAAACTGGAATTTGACTCTCTAGATCACAGACGCCTTCAAACAATAGAACTACATCATGCACATTAGCTGTACAGAAAAGTTTGTGGTTAGTTGAATTGTCTTTTATATCATAGTGGTTCCAGTAAAGAGCATCATGAGCTGCCCCATCTATATAATGACAAATTAGACATAACACTTATTAATAACTTAGCTCACTTACAACTTAAGTTCTTCAAATATAGCCTATGAGGTTTCAATACTTTTTAATGAGATGGACATTTTAAGAGTATGTTACTCTGTTAAGATTGTCCAGGACAAAGAATGATAAAAGTACTACAGTTCTTAAACAACCCATTTTAAAATTCATTTTCATTCAAACAATTTAAAGGATTTACTTGTAAATTCTCGGAAAACTTATTCTGTCCACAAAGCATAAGTGCTGTAATTTTGAGGCTATATTCTTCTTACATAAACTGGCTGAATCCCTGCTTTAAGGGCAAAACTCAACTTTCAGTATGGAACCACAACCAGTGGCTCCATGTAAACACATATAAGTGTGTATGTTGTATGAGACATATATAGGGCTTCTGATTTTTAGTTTTAACTGAAAAACACCCCCAATATAAAACAAAAAGCAGTGTTTATCCCAAAGAACACCAGAAATTGTTACTTGTACCCAAGGGCTTGTCTACATGGAGCAGTAGAAGGGACTTCTAGGGTGTGATCTCTAAAACATGCTAACATGCTGCATCTTACTTGGTCCATGTAGACCCTACTTGTATGCACTAGGGGTTCCCTAGTGCACTTTAACTTAGTGCAGTTTGAAACAGTACTACAGTCATTAGTATATTACTGAATAAGTAAGGAATAAAATCTACATTATTCATTACAATATATACAAAGAGAAAGCCCCAATTTTTGGACAAAACTCAAATTGCTAAAAATAACCTCCCCAAAGTGAAATTAATACCCCCCCCCCCCCAAAAAAAACCAGAAGCCCCAGATAAAAGGGTGTGGAAGCATGTACACACAATTTAGCTTCTAGGGGAAAGTTTTCTTTTGGAATTTAAACATTCTGCTGCGGTGCTGGACACTCAGGACACAATCCGATTGAGCTCTGACATATATGCCAGACAGTGCCACTAATGCATCTAGTTCGGATTGTCCTACGGGAGTAAAATGCAAAAAAAAAAACAAACAAACAAACAAACATGGCCATTGTTAAATTAGAGTAGATTATTAAAACTGAACATTTAAAAGCAGTAGTAGGAAGCAAAGTAAAGATTGGTTTGATGTATTAAATTTGAAAAGCCCAAAGCTTCAAGCCTTTGAATAATTACAATTTCTCCTGACTGTGCTCTACTTATTTCAGAAGAGGTTTTAGAGTATTTTCTGAACCGGTGATTTTCCTTAGTTTTTATGCTACAGCAAATAGAATGTATTTTAGAAGCAACATTATAACCATATCCTTGTTCATTTTATCTCATGGAACAACATTTCTAAAACTGGACAAAAACAGATTTAAAAGAGAAAGCTGTTCCCTAGAGTTGTGTGTGTTTGCTGTTCTGTAGACTCCCTTTGTGTTCATTTTACTTTCATAAGACACACACAAAAAGAAGTATCCTATAACTGAAACCAATCAGTTCTCTTAGCCAAGCTATGATCAAAATACAAAATGGAGTAGCAGGCTAAGAAGCATACATAAGTATCAAAGCACAGGAATCATATACTTTCCATAGCCAAAGAATGGAAAAAACACTTCAATTATTTCTCTTCTCCTCTTGTGAGAGTGAATGGAATAATCATTTTACCAGGATGTTACAGTACAAAAACAAGGTGACAGTGCTTGTGGATGATGTGCTGGAATGTTGCTTTGGTTTTTGGCTTCCAGTTGCTTTTCAGTAGGTCTGACAAAGGCATTTAAATTCACTAACCCCTAGTAACAGCAGCTCTGATTTGTGACATCATAGCCCCACATCATACATTAAACAATGCTGAAGATTCTACAACATCTAACTCAAGAGAAGCAGGGCATCTCAGATGGCCACCATGGAACATATAACAACAGGCTTCTGGCATACGTGATGCACAGTCAACTTCAACTTATGAATCACTTGTTGCCTCTGGCACCATGGATGATGTTGCAGTCCTTAAAAAGAGAGGCTACATCATGGGGGGAAATTTGGGAGAAGGGTCTTATGCTAAAGTGAAATCTGCCTACTCCGATCGACTGAAATTTGATGTAGCAGTAAAGATCATAGACCGGAAAAAAGCTCCTCATGACTTCCTGGAAAGATTTCTCCCCAGAGAAATAGAGATTTTAGCAAAAGTGAATCACTGCTCCGTGGTCAAAACCTATGAGATTTTTGAGACCTCTGATGGCAAAGTCTACATTGTGATGGAGCTGGGTACAAAAGGAGACTTACTGGAGTTCATCAAGAGCAAAGGGGCTTTGACTGAAGATGTAGCTCGCAAGATGTTTCGCCAGCTGTCTTCTGCCATCAAGTACTGCCACGATTTGGATATTGTCCACAGGGATTTGAAATGTGAGAACCTCCTTCTAGACAAAGACTTTAATATCAAACTGTCAGACTTTGGCTTTTCCAGACGACTGACTCGAGATGAAAATGGCAAAGTTATTCTCAGTAAAACCTTCTGTGGTTCTGCTGCGTATGCAGCCCCTGAAGTGTTACAAGGCATTCCCTATCAGCCTAAGATTTATGACATATGGAGTCTGGGTGTCATTTTGTATATAATGGTCTGTGGATCAATGCCATATGACGACTCAAACATTAGAAAAATGCTAAAGATTCAGAAAGAACACAGAGTGCACTTTCCCAGGTCTAAAAACTTGACAGTTGAATGCAAAGATCTTATTTACCGCATGCTGCAGCCAGACGTGGCTCGGAGGTTGCACATAGATGAGATTTTAAATCATATTTGGATGCATACTCCAAAATCCAGAGTTCCTTCAGCAACTTCATTTGTAAAAGAGGGAGAGTGTTCTCGGAATCTTGGCAAGTTAAAGTCAGAGCACAAACAGGAAATAGAACCCCCGGAGGAATCTCAGCCAGATAGACCAGATTACAAAACGGAGTTTAAAGCAGTACCCAGATTGGAGGCAGTACCGGAAGCAGAGGATGCCGTTCCCGAAGAAGAGCAAGAGGAAGTTAATGACCTTACAGATGAAATGCAAAGAACAGGGATCAAAAATGGTGATGACTAAAGAATAGCCACCTGCAAGAGTCGTTTGCATGGCATCAGCACAACTAATGAATAAGACGATGAAGTTAGTTTTGAAAAACAAGAGCCCGGAACAGGAGAAAGTAAAGTCCATTCATAACAAGCAATTATTTTATAGCAATTCTATTAAATTTTCTTCTTAGTAACCATGTTGCTGAATTGAAGGGTTAAATAAGGAGGTAGATTTTCCAAGCCATCTAATAGATTTGTATGCCCAATTCACATCAGGCCTATGGAGTACTTTTTCCATAGCTGCCTCACGGTTGAATGCTGAAATGCTGCGGTGAGTTAAGGTTTCTTTTGCGCAATGTTTCATCACAGTCTCATGCCCCTTTCACATTTGGGCATTAACACAGTGGCAGCTAGCCCTCTCCCAGCCTGTTCTGTTACATGCATAGGGAAAAAGGGTCACGGTTTCCTTTCATAGTCCAGTACCGCAGTGTTGCTGGAGTTACTGGGTGGGCCAATTTCTCACCTCACTAAGATTTACTAGCGATTCAATGCAGCAGCATCACAACAGCAGGCTTGGCTCTTTTTTTTTTTTCCCCTCTTCATTTTCTGATGCAGAGAAATGGATTTTGCTAAACCATGTCACAGTGTAAATGGAGCGCTGATATGCAATTGATTACAAGTGCTGATCTGCTTACCTGTAGGGAAAAGGCAAACTGCACTACTAAGACCCCTAGATTTGTCATATTCTAATAACAGGGAACTATTATTGTTTAATGCAGCGAAGGGGACGCCCTCCCTTACAAACCGTAGCTGGGCCTGGAAACGTGCCTTCTGTTAGAAGTAACACCTGAGATTACTGGAACTCAAGATTTGCCTCACTTCACTTTTACTTTGTAAATTTGACAGCACTGTGTCTAGCTAATATATGTCTCCTGTTGTTTGTGAGAGACTCTGAGGCAGGTACTGGATTAATTCACGGAAGAAATGGAGCATTTTGAAATGTGGTTGTAAAGCCATAAAGTGGCTGGAGGGACTCAGGGGCAGCTGTAGAGTTTGAAACTACTTTGGATTCTTTTTTTCAAGCTGCCCAACCTTCAAGTGACCATGTCCCACTGAACTGTCCCATTTTATAAACAACTTTCCAGTGTCACATTAACAATTTAGGAATAACCAGCGGTGACGTTCTTGTCAACCTGAGCAGGGAGGGAGATCCGGAACAGTGTTAGCTTTTTCCTGGGCATTGCATGGGGAAAATCAGGTTCTGGTTAGCACCACCCCTGTTGGGTCAACTGCCGAGTCCCCTTTCCCCTGAAGGAGGGATTGCAAGTAGCCCCAGTTAGTTTTACAAAAGTCACGCTTGGACATGGTGGTCACTGCCCTACTAGAAAAGGGCCATACCACCCACTCCCACTGGAATAGCTTTAAAACCACACCAATAACTCAAGCAGTAGTTTGGTTTTTAAACAGTACTTTTTGTACATTCTGTAAATAATTCCCTACAGTTATACACCAATCCCTGCCTGGGGGATGCGATTACAAACATTCAGCATCTTTGAGAAAAGCACAGCAATTGGTTACAATACCTGAGTGAGCTAAATCTTTACTACAATTTAGAAGCAGGGTTGAGGGAAGTACCAGATCCCTGCTCGCCCTCAGCAGCTACAAAAGTGATTGGGAGAGGGGCATAGCAGTGAGGTCCAGGACTCACTCCCCCTGACCCCTTTGCTGAGAAGGCCAGCTCCTCTCCCACAGCACAGACCCTGCCTGGTGAGAAGGGGGAGAGTCCTGGCAATTACTGTGAGCCGCATTCCATGGGCAGCGGTTATAGGCTCTATCGATTGTCTCCACCATCGGCTGCTAGGTGTTGAATCACCTTTAGCTGCTGGAAGGGAGGAGTTTCCTCTTTTCCCTTTGCTGCAGCCTCCTGGTTGCTGCGAGCCACCGGGGGAGGTGTGTCTCCACTACTCCATATCCCTCCTCCAGGCTGCTGAAGGAGCCAGGGAAAAGGGAGGGATGAGAAGAGGGGCAGCTAGGGAACTTTCTAGGTCTAACTTTCCCACCAATCACTCCAGCTCCTACTCACAGCCTTCCCAAACCACCGCCACCAGGGTGTTCTGAACAGCAGCAGTTGTGAAACTGACCCCAGTCTGAATTTCACTCTGCTGCTGCAGGGCAGAGCGAGGGGCAGCACTGGCACCATCTGCAGAGGGAGGAAGGCGATGCATTGTTTACATTTGCCAAGCTCTCTTCACAACAGCTCAACAGAAATATTTAGTAAGTGAAAGCTCATGTCTGCCAAAACCAACGGTTTATGCCCCACCCCCTCACCAGAAAATGCTTCCATTCATTAAAGCAGATTTTTCTAACCTTGAATTGTAACATTAATAAAAATAATGTTCTGTAGGTTTTAGAAATATCTCCCACCCCTACTTCCACGCTCTCCACAAGTGAGCCGTGTGAATGCATTCGTTCAGCACTTGTTGCCATCGTGGTTATCCTCTGTCAGCCTGACTCTTTTGCTGCCAAGCAGAGCGAGGCAGAAAATGCAGCTTGCTGAAGTGAATGACGGGGGATCAGAGACTTTCAAGCTTGTACAGAAAGTTCTACTTTTAAAGAGCGAGACAGAGAGAGATTGGCCATTAAAAAAAATAATAATAATAATAGAATTTTATACCTTGGAAAAACCAACTGATCTCACCAATTCAAATACAGCCTGAGCCAATGGCCACTGAAGTAAATGAGAAGCTGGCCATTGAAGTCAGTGGAAACTGGATCAGGACCATATGGAGCTGTGTTGTGGCTCTCTAAACCACATCAGATGGTCAAGGTGACAGCTCTATTTGCAATGATTATATTTGACACACACACAAAAAGCCAGTGATGCATTCCTTGTAACCAGAGGCAGTGAGGAGCACTTTCCTAGTGCACAAGAAACTACACAAAGGCTGCTGACCTTCCACTTTGACCCCCCCTTTTTAAAAAAAAAAAAAAAAAAAGAATAAAGCCTCACTTGAAAGGTGATGCCACAGCAACAGTAAATTTCACTGTCCCAGGCTGACCTCTCCCCCAAATGACTGCATTCAATGTCAGAGCACTGTAAAATGCAGGTGTGCTTCAGATCAAACACGGACGACTTGTTTTTTCTGCTCAGATTCTAAGATTTCCAAAGTTCTTTATGACATCTACAACTTGCTGGGTATTTCAGATGTGCACTCCCATAAATAGCTCCTGCTGTACTTCACTGCAGGGCAAAAATACTTGCCACATTTCTGGACTCTACCCAGGAGGGCAGATGAATAGAAAATGTGTGCACTGAAGGCTGCTCCTCTGTGTCCTCAAAGGACTAATGCTCACCAATGGGCCTGTTGGACACTAAAGAGTGCAGTTTAAATGGATGGAAAGTTAGAGAGAGGCTTTCTGGTATTTTGGCTCTTTCTATGCAGAATTGGGATTGGAAGAGGAAAGAATACGGAGACTTGCCTACATCTCTTCTTTACTCAGCGGAACAGCATTTTTCAGTGGAACACACAGCCAAAAGCAAGGAAGTTTCACACCTTGGTTCAGGCCTTAATACAAAGGCTTGCTATTTTATAAATAGACATCTGTACAGAAAGAGAGGCACTCAAATGCAGTCAGCAGGGTCACGCTTTTTAAAAAAAACAAGGAGAATTACAAAAAAATATCCCAAACATTTCTGGCTATTTTCCAAAAGTCCAAGCCCTTTTTTGCTATTTCTGGAAACGACCTTGTCCCCTACCGATTCTGTGTAACATGTCCACGTGGTATGAAGAGAACTTATACCACACTGGTAAATAGTCTGCTTCCAAAACGCATGTTGCAGGCTGCTCCACTCTTGTTCTAGTAATGGCATGTCAAGTGCGGGAACTATGCACTACTCAAGGGCAGAAATGGTCCCCAATCCAGCAACTGCTAGATGACATTCTAGCAGCTTTAAGCAAATGCCCCTTGCTCCTGGCAGCGCATACTGCTCTCAGCTTGCACACAGCCCTGCTGGTGAAGGTTGTATTCAGAAGAAATCAGATGCCTTTCGTCTTTTAGGGAGCTGCAGCAGGTTGTCTGTGATTGAAGCGGGATCTTGTGTTACTGGCATCTCAGAGACAGTCCTAGGAGGTGGGGTGCTAGTGGGGGTGCGAGACCCTCCTGCTGGGGTCTTATATCCAGGGGTTCCTGGGTGTGCTGGAGAAGGGGTATAACTGGCTCGCAGGGCTTTGTCAGTGTATTTGCTCGCCGTCCTGTTTACTAGTCGTTGCAATGCTGGTGACATAGCTGGACTCAGTCCTTTTGGAGTGAGGCTGCAATAGAAGCAGAATAGTTTTAAAATGCAAAAGCTGTATCAGAGAGCACACAGATCACTGAACAGACGCAGCACCTCCCAGGCCCTGCAAACTCTGACTCGCACGCTCCCTTCTCCTTCCACTCCTGCATTACTTGAATCATTCAGAGCACAGCTCAGGACAGAGCCTGGCCATTCTGCTCTTCTGGCAGCAATGCCTGAACTCTCCTCCCACTTGTGTGGTTAAACCTCAGCCCCGCTGTCTCTCTCTCTGATTAATGGCAGGAGCCCCCCGAATGCGAGCAATGCTCCCTTGCCTTCTCTTTAGGTCCATTGAATCCTCTCCGTCCCTACCCCAAACAACCAAGTCCTGGAACATCTCTGCCTTTTGTGATCATTTGGGGCACTTACCCTCCTGGAGCAAGGGCAGTTTGGCCTGGGAGGAGAGTTCCCAAAGTACATGCCTCTCTACCGTACTGCCAACAGCCTTCTCCTAGAAACTGGGCTTGTTCACATCTAAAGTCTCCTCCCAGTTTGAGTGTATCCATTCTTGCTTCTCAAAGCCCCTCCTTCTCCTGATCCTTGTACTCCTTCTCCTCACCCAAATGCCTTTCCTCTATGCATGCTGATTTAACTCTTACTAGACAGCACTTGCTATTCTCCCCCACTGCCAGGGACAGTTTAATATGGAGACGTCTCACTTGGCCAAGTTTTCCGTGACTCTTCTTAACGCTTCCTGTTTCTTCGCTCGGTTTTTAGCGGCCGCCTCATTGGCCATCTTGAGTCCTAACCGCTCTCTGCGCCCAGGCTCCAGGATCTGTAAATACACCAAACCAGGTAAGTCTCCAGGCTGCTAACCAAGCCCATTCATAGCTGGAGTCCAACCCGTAAGGATCTACATTAAGGATGGGAGGGGAAGAGAACCCACTCTTAGCTTTGCTGCTATCTGGACAGCCAGAGGCAGTTGAAGATACAGCAGAATCTCCAAGCTGAAGATCTGTGTAACAAAAATGGTAAAACAGTAACTGCCTCCTTGGCTGAGCTGAACTCTGGCATTTCCTCCAGTTGTCTTCCCTGAACAAAATGTATCACCTCTGTTTTACCTGGGTCAGCCTTCAGCCACTCAGCTCTCATCCAAGCCCCAATCATTGCTAAGCTCTGGGAAAAACCAACCAACTGCACTGCCCAGGTCTGACAAAACGGAGAGAGAAGAATTCCACTGCTGCTATCCTCAGGAATCACACCCAAAAGGTGCTCACTGTTCTCCAGGTAGGGAATGGGAGACGTCCTGCATCTGAGGTGAGATGCAGTTAGTAGAGCCAAGCCACCTCCCCAAACCTCACTGGACTCAGATGTCTCAGCTGGTGGTGATGGGCCAGCAGGGCCAAGCTGGAAGGAAGCCACCCAGCAGGAAAAGTTTGATTTAAGACTCCCTAATCTACTTATATATCAAATCCCAAAAATGAGACACCCTCCTCTTCTCCAGACTCTTGGAGAACCCCAGAATATTCAACCTCAGGATGCCTGGGATGGACCAGGAGCCCTCATGGCCAGAGCATTTTATCCAGCTAAACTCTACCCATAGGACCTAGATAGCCAGTACCACAGCCAAGTCATAACCCCTACAATAATAAATGTTAGTCTATTAGTGACTGCTCCCCTGCCCCACCACCCCAGTCCATCCCCCAAAAGATCTGAGTGCTGAAATCTGACATGGAATACCTTAAAGGCCGGTCCAGGTGTCCTGTCCACATACGGCGTTTCTGACCCATCTACTCGCAATGGGGTGCTCTCTATCTCACCCCACGTCATAAGAGGAGAGTCGTTCACACCTAGCAACAAGTTAAGAAGAGTCAGTCTGGGATGCAAGACATTTGTAGAGACTGCAACACCCAGAATGTGTGTGCTCTGCCCTAACACAGGGGCGGTCTTCTCCCCACAACGGTTAACAGAAGCTGGTTATGAAACAGCATAAATCACTGGTCAGCCAATGGAACAGCCATCACAACAGAGACGATCACACTCACTGTAGGAAAGATACACCATCCCTTTACCAATATCTAGAGCTGCAGGACAATTTCCCAGAGCCTGATCTAGTAGCTGGCTTATCAGGATAAACCATGGGATCTTCCCCCTAACTGATTTCTGTCTTAGAGAATATTTATACCATGGAAAGGAACTGCACTGAGCATGCCAGCTGCAGGCTTTGCCAGGTGCTGGAAAGGACACAAGGATCCCCAGTCTTCAATACGAATGACTAAAAATAAATGGTCGCAGGAAGGTCAGCATAAAATCAGTTAGCCCCCAATAAAAACAGAGCCCATTAGATTCTTATGAAGTAACAGAGAGGTCATCGTATAGACTACACAATACAGATCTATTCAAAGGGAGGGAGAGAAAGCCGTAGGGCTGAGGGAGATTGGGAGTGGTGATAATGGATTGTAAAATGAACAGGAGCTTGCAATGCACTAGGGAGCACAGAGAATCTGTTTGGATCAGAATGGCACAAAACCCCAGCGTGCTGTTAATGGATCTATCCTAGTACAGGGGCTGCCCTTTGGATAAATTGGAACGCTGAACTGTTGAATCATTACCACTGTGAACTGGCCTCAACCATTGACCCACTGGCTCCTAACAGTCCCTTTCTCCTCATCAGTCTCACAGATTTCCTTGGTTTTCTGACACCCTGCGCTGCATGAAAAGAGAGGAGCCCAAACTCAAGCAATATCTACAACCCTGCATTGTACAGGAGGTCAGACTAGATGATCATAATGGTCCCTTCTGACCTAAATATCTATGAATCAAGCACCAAGGGCAAAAAACAAAGGCGGATTCTGACAGAATGAAACATACTGAATTCCTCAAAGCTTGTGCTGAGGCTGTATTACCTGCCTAGAGAACTTCCTATCAGCCTCCACTAAAGCTGCCAAATCCCTCCCAAGGAGCTATCCAGGGTGGCAAACCACACCATTAATCCAGACCACCCACAACCTGCATCACAGCAGGGCACCAAGTGCTGCGAAGAGCTATCTTACTTTGCTGAAAAGATCCCACACGTTCAGGAAGGCTTCTCAACCAGCATGGATCCACTCTACCTGCACCCATCAACCCACCTGCATTCCCAGAGTTCAGGGCACTCACTCACCAAGAGGTTGTGGACACCCTAAAAGTGTCCCGACAAAAGACTTGTGAATCTGACTCACACCGCTCCAGGCGTGTTTGTGACCCTCTTTCACAACAGTGCTGCTCCCAACTAAAACAGCCAGAATCTGCTCTTCCAGTCCTACCACCACCAAAGAAACTCACTCTGGATACTTCAGTCCTAGTTATCTTTCAGCCCATGTCAAACCTCCCATTCCTGAGCAAGTTTACAAAGAAGCTAGCAAGAGGCCAACTACCAGCTCATCTAACTGAGGCCAACGTTCTAGACCCGGCACAATCTGTATTCACACCAGGATACAAAACTGAAACTGCTTTAGTTGCACTGCTGGATGATCTCCTGCTGCCAGTGGCTAGAGGGCAGACAGACTCCATTCTCATCCTCCTGAGCTTCTCTGCAGTTTTCAACACTGTTGACCATGAGATGCTATGATCTTACCTGAGAGGGGTGGCAGGAGTCCAGGGTAACGTGCTAAAGTGGTTTCAGTCCTTCCTGGAGGAATGCACCCAAAGAGTAGTGACGGGAAACTGCACCTCCACTACTACCCCTCTCTTGTGGGTTCTACAAGGATCAATTCTCTCTCCAGACCTTCTCAATATCTACATGCAGCCACTAGGTGAACTGCTCAACAGACATGGACTCAAGTGCCACTAACATGCAGATGACACACAGCTCTCCCTGTCCTTCACATCACTAGCACCACGATGGCCCAGTGCTTGGCTGAGATCAGCTCACGGACGAAGAACAGCTGACAGAACCCGAACAAAACACAGGTGATGCTGGTGGGCAGAGAAAGGTATTTTGAGGAGTTGGCAGCCATGGTGCAATCTCCTTTGATTGATGCACAATTGGTCACGTCAGTCCATAGTCTAGGAGGACTTGGATTCCTCACTGATGCTGAACTCTCACATAGCAACAGCTGGGAGTAATGCTTTCTATCATCTCCAGTTGGCTAGGACACTCTGTACCATCCTGGCAGATGAAGACCCGCCCTCAGTTATTCATGTCTTCATCACTGCTCGACAGGAGTACAGCAACACGATACTCCTGGGCATGAAACCGAAACTCCCGTTAGGACAAAACACCGCAGCACATCTCCTCAGCAGCACAGGCTGCTGCGAGCACATCACACCTGTCCTCCGCTCTCTACACTGGCTTCCCATGGCATGGGTCCAGGTTATCTAAAAGACCAGAGCCTTCTCCCGGGGTGGCCCAAGACTGTGGAATGAATTCCCTCCAGAGCCGAGGACTATCACAAACCTCCCCACTTTCCACTTCAAGTGCAAGGCCCATTTCTTTGACGTGCCTTCACCAATATAAGCACGTAGCAACCAGTAAATGTATTTAACAGTTAACAACTGGAAAACAAAACGAGACAAAACAAAAAGCGCTCCCAAAACATGACACTCCCCCACACGCTTCTCCCTCTGGGGAAGAGGAGGGCAGAATAAACACCACGTGACAGATGTGCTTAATGCACTACTGGAAGGCACTCAGCTACTTCAGTGATGAGTACTGTATAAAACGATCTATATAGAATAGAACTGCTGGGGGGAGGGGTAAATGTTTGTGAAATGCTTTGAGATCCTTGGATATAGGCACTAGAGAGACAATCACCACCAGAAAGTTACAAGTGCCATGCTCCCCTCAGAGTTCCCATAAGCTTTTCCTAGGATGATCTAGTCCATTCGACCCGAGTCCACCGAAGCAGCATCCACGTCTCAGAGCCTCCTGAGCCCAGCATCGTTTCTATCTTTGGACTGAGACTTGACAGAGCATTAAATTGGCATATTCTCTACCCCAGAGACCCACTGGCTCAGCAGACATACAGAGTCGAAGTCAAAGCTGCCCGATTAAAGAAACATTGACTCCTAGGGTGGAGTGTTCATCAAAAGGTCAGTGGAACAGGACAGCATTGCAAACTACTTCGCTTTTACGTCAGAGCAAAAAAAAGTCTCTTCTTACCAGGGGCAGGAGAAGGGGTGGCCACAAATCCATATCCATTCACTTTTGGAGACTCCTGAGGGATCAGCTCCTTCCCATCTGGCCCTACTTTGCCCTGTTTGTACTAGAACAGAAAAGCTGGCATCAATCGGGTGCACTTGGAGAAAGCAGACAATTAGGCACAGTTCTCATAACTCATGCACCTCTCCCAATGAGGGGTATTTCGGTCACAAGCATGTCCTGTCTGTAAACGAACCTGGGCATTGAGGGCTGCTGCCTGCTGGAGCTGGGATTTGCTCACAGCTTGGCTGAATGGATCTCTCAGAAAGCGGGTGTTTCTATGGACAACTTCTCGAGGCTTCTTAAACACATCATCCTCATCGGGCACACCTGGAACGGCAAGCCAAGACATCAAGGAAAGGACTGAGGGACCACTAACAGGGGGCAGGCTGACCTAAAGCCCCCAAACAAACAATCTCAGGGGTCAGTACACAGTTCTGCAAGACACAATGTACAGATGCAATTATATTTTGCCATTTCCACCCATTTAAAATAAAGTTCACATTAATGCAGTTAGGTGTCTAACCTACCGCCTGAAAAACAAGGACAAAATCAAGGCTACATTAGAAAACCAGGAAACACATAAGAGTTCCCACATTTCACATGAAGGTTATTTACCATGCATTCATAGCCAAAAAAGGCATCGAGGCCCAGTCTGGGTTTGTTAAAGGATCCCATTGCCTTTTAGACGGCAGCCAAGGGACCAGCAAAGCCCACATATACAGAGCTGAGTAGGACGGTAGGAGGAAAGAGGGGAACTGAAAGTGCTCATTAACAAGACAAACCCAATAGGAAGGAGCTAGGACTCCTGAAAACAAACAGCCACTGCAATGTGGGTAATGAGCGACAGGATGACAAATGGCAGCAGGGTCGAAACAACGCAGGAATGACATGGGAAAGAATGAAACTGAGCATATCCCTGCCTTGCAGAAGGAAAAGCTGCAAAGTGCAATCTTACCACAGTGACAGCAAGTCAGGCACCTGAACAAGTGCTGGGGAAAGCAAAACGGAAATGCAGGTGCTTTGTGACATCCACCCACCTGAACCAGTGCATGTTTCCAAATCTGCTGATGTCTCTTAAGGGGCCAGTTTGCTTTACCTGCTGGGTAATACATCAGGGAATTCTGAGCCTTGTACTCCCAGGTCTCCACGCCAGCTTTCCCGCTCTCCAGCGCCTGCTGCTCTGCTGAGGGAAGTGCCAGATTCTCAAGTCGTCGCTGGAATCAAATTTAAAACAAAGCCTGAATTGCAGATTCTCATTTCAGACTGAAAATAAGCTTGATAATTCATCTGCTTGATGCTCTGCTTTTCATCTTTTACATCTTGTGTCTTTCAGAGAAGAGCAGTTCAGAGACTGGATTTATCTGAAGAGACCAGAGACAACGGCTATAAAATAAGATACCAAGTTTAAAGGAAGAGGTGCAAATATTAGAGAAATGCAAGAAGGCATTCCAGGGCTCTCTCTCTTCTGTGCCCCAGGCTGACTCAATCACTGTGTTTTGAGACTGCTACTCTGGTGTTGGCCTTTTAACTTTGGTATCAGATCTTTTGAGTGGACAGGATGTATACGGGGCTAAAAAAAAGTGCACATTATTTGTTACAGAATCTTTGTAAACTTAAGTTCACAAAGCTCTTTGAGATTAAATGCTGAGTGGTCCTCTAGAAATACTGACAGCAGAGCTCCCCGCACCAGTAACAGCTTCCCCTTCCCCAAGTCCCATAAAACTTTATTAACTGGACAAGACACTTTTTCAGTGTTTCTGGTCATATTTAACACACTTCATATTAGCAACACAGAGGATTCTGAATGCCAATAATTGAAAAAGATCAAGAATTTGTCTGCCAAAGAATAAGGCATTGACAGATGAATACGAAGAGCTGTTCAACAGCTCGCTAAGGTTGTTGCCAAGAATTCTAATACTTGTACTTAGACAGTGCTTCATATTTTCAAAGCTCTGTATAACGTAAATCCTCAGCATCCCTGGGGTATGTCAATATTATCCCCATGCTCTAGATGGGAACAACAGCAGCACAAAGAGGTTTAGTGAGTTGTCAAATGCTACAGCAAATTGGGGCAGAGCCAGGATTAAACTCCAGAGTTCCTAGCTCTGTATGCTAGATCTCACTGCCTCATGCACACACAACTCAAAACCAAGCAGTCAGTGTTTTGTCCTTGATGCATCAGTATGATTAATTCAACAGTCACATATCTAGAGACAAGGAACAATCACAGTGGGTTCTAGTGGGACTCAACAATAGAATGGAACTTAATATTCTCTCTTCTCCCTGCCAAAGGCAAGAGAGAAACTATAAACCATCTTTCTCCCTCATTTGGTTAAACAGACGACAGCACTTGTCCACAGTACTATGTTAGAAAAGCTCAGCTATTCAGGAGCCATTTCCCCACCTGGGCAAACTCCTCTTCTGCTTCATACAGCCAAGAATGCCTGGCCTTTTCCTTCTCTTTGGCCACTTCCATGATCTGCTCAAATGAAGCATTATCCTCACTAGTGTGTTTTGTTAAGAAGCTGTCCAGGCTGGGAAGAGTGTCCTTACTCTGTTCTTTCTCCACTTCTCCTAGAGAGATGAGGGAATAAGTCTGAGGAAGAGGCTCACACTCCCCTTTCTGTAATGAGCAATGCCTGGTTATTAATCCCCCATGCAAGTATTTTCCCCCACTGGTCCACTCTTAACTTGAGCACTGGTGAGGAATCTGTATCCAAAATGAAAGTACATATGACGTACAGAGTAGTAGTATTGACTTGACTTATTGAAGGATCAGTGACCCTTTCCCACACCCATCCCCTTCAGGATCATTCATTTATTCACATTAAAGGACAATTCAGAAGTACTTTGCCGCCAGATGACACGTCCGTGTTCATACTGTTCTGTACATGAATAGCTGTGTTCCTGCCACCTTGCCCAGGCAGAAACCCTTTTCTTGGGAAGCAATGAAGTTCTCACGTCAGAGATGGTTATTGATCCAGGCAGGCCCACATCCCACCCAACCTGTGATGGAGTTTCACTTAGCACAGATATTAGAAGGCGCCACTTTAGTGGAAGGTTAACACCCGATAACATGCACAGCAATATTTCCCCTCCTGCTGGAGAACCCAAATAAAGAGGATAGCCCCTTCCCTACCTTCCTCCGCAGCTTTGATCCCAACCTTGGGCTTGTTCAACAAGGAAGAGGCGCCTGGGTGCACTTCGGGTGTTTCAAACGTGGCTGGAGTAACATCTGTGCCAGAGAAATAAATCCCAGCATGTGTTACAAAAACGGGGAGCAGATCATCATCATGTTACCCCTAGTGGATAAGCAAAAAGCTGCAACCTCTTCGGGGGACCTGTCTGCCAGCTCTCATTAGTCTCAGATGACCTACAGATTGTGGTTAAGAGGGAGGAATTCTTTAACTAGAGTTAGGGAAGGGTTTAAAACGACATCTGTGTAAATCAGTTCCAACCACTGATGAAGTTTCAGCTCAACTAGATAACTGGTCCTACTCCTGCTGGGCACCAATGGCAAAATTCCCCATTGATTTCAGTGGGGGGGCGGGGGGAGATTGCATTCTAAGCATTCTTTATTTTATCTGAAACAATGACAGATAAAAGCAGGCAATGATTTGTGTTCCATGGTAGCCCTCACTCGGGGCAATGCCAGTCGCAAATGGCAACACCAATACCACAGGCAGGGAACCCATTCAATGGTACATGTCCTTCACCGCAAGTTCCCAACAGTGCGGCAGCTGCCCCTTTGCGAGCCAACACCCCAACTCCATAGCAAGAAGTCAACCAGAGGCTGAGTTTACTGTGGGGAAGCCTGTAAATTACCCAGCATGAGAGTTACATGCCAACATGGGAAACAGCACCTAAAACCAGGCTGAAGGAGGGAAAATTAACCCAAAAGGAGAAAAATAAAAACCACACACACACACACACCCCAGAAGCCCTGTAAATGGCATGCTCCCTTAACTGAAATGACTGGGAAACACACAAATTTTGTACAATGGATCTAAAATAAATAAATAAGTTGCACATATATTCTGACCAGCACATATTTCTTGCCTACAAGCATCTTCACAGCAGCTTACAGTGTGACTTGGCGTTTGCTGGCATACTTTTTCACTGCACATCCCTCTCTTCATTGCATGCCGCTTCCTTGATCTCTTAGTGATGCTAAACAAGTTCTTATCTTAAAATGCTTTTAAATGTTTTAAAGCTTATACTAGGTTTATTTTTAAATCAATTCCTGGAATAGAAGCAGGTATCTAACAGTTCAGTGGAGGCCTAAGACATGAACCTCTGATAATCAGGGCATCTGTTGCCACTGGAGTATGTTAATTAAAAGGATATGCCATTGTATTAAATAAAGCTTCATAGCCGGATTCAGAAGAGGGCTTGACATAACAAGACTATCCAGAGTTATAACAGTAAGAATTAAAGAGACAGCCAAGAGTTTCCAAACAGACATAGCACCTCATGTTTCAGAGCATAAGGTGACCTCTAACAAATGGGAGTTAAGAAGCAGTTTCCCCAATGGGCTGGTTATTTTATAACCGCCCCTCCGCATGGTTTCTTGTACCCTTCCTCTAAAGCAGCTGATACCAGTCACTGCCAATACATCATTGTGTCATCCAGGCTGGTAACTCCTGTGCAATCAGTACTTTTCCATAATTAGATCAGAAGGCAGCTACCATGTTGGATTCTGTGCCTTAAGTAAGTTGGGTTCCCAGTCACTCAACAACACTACAATTTACACCTTGCTAGCATAAAACAATCCATTAAAGTGACAAAAAGACAGTAGTGCTTCATATCTTTTACTTTATGACACACATCCACACTAATAGCCTGACCACGAAATCAGCCACCCAAGTGCCAGCCCTTACATGGTGCAGGTGTCTCCCTGGACCATTTCCCCAGTGAGGAGCCAAATTTGATAGCTATTTGTCTCATTTTCTCTAAGTCGCCACTTTCTTCAGCCTCCAAGTATTCCTTCTGAGCACGTAACTTCTCAACATCAGGAAAGAAATCCCTCTGAATAATTTTCTCCAAACTCTATAGTTAAAAGAAAAGAAAAAAAAAACCAGAACAAACAATTCTGAGCATATCTGGCAAGCAAGAAAAAACAAGATCAGTTTGGGGAAGATTCCTTGGAAGGGGATAAGGATTTAGGGTTCCATGAAAGGCCATGATTGACTACAGTGCATAAGAATACTGAAGTCCTATTTATCCACAAGAGGTACCACAGATGAACAAACAATACCAATGCTGGCTTCCCCGACACTGCCCCAGCAGCAGGCTCAACTATGATCTAGAGCAGTGGTTCCCAAACTTTATTTGATGAGTCCCTTTTTGGAGATTCATGTTCCATGCATGCTTCCCTCTTTCTAAGGGGGACCAGGGGACATGGGGGCCTGTACTCACCTTGCAGCAGTTGCGCGGTCTCGGCTCCCAAGACCCAGCTTCCTCCCTGTCTCGCTCCCACCCACAGGGGAAGCAAGTGGGCTGCACTGAAGAGGCGGGGTCAGGAGTAGAGCAGAAGGCTGCACTCCTTTAGTACTGTCCCTCCTGACCCCAGCCCTTCAACATGGCCTTGTCCGTTTCCCCTGGGCAAGCTCTGTCCAGAAGGGGAAGTGGACAGGGCACTGTGTCCTGGGGCCACAGTCAGGAGGTGGCTCTGTCCCACAAGAGTCAATACTTATTAAGTGCAGCCTTCAGCTCCCCACTGTCCTCCTCAGCAGAGGAGGGTATCTGCCAGGCGATAGCTAAAGCAGTGGGCATGTGAGACAGGCAGGGAGTCTGGTCCTAGCATTTGAGACCACTTGCACAGACCCCTCTCCACCTCCCCTACCGGACTGAACCCCTCCTGACTCCAGCCCTACAGTGCAGCCCCATCAGTTCCTCATGCCCCCCTGATAACCTCATCGCACACGCATGGGGGATATACACCCCAGTTGGGGAATCTCTAGATGGATCACCTCTAAGAGCGAGAGAGATTAATCACCATTACACTTCAATCCCTGGCATCTTTGCTGAGACTGCTTAAGGGCGCCAATTAGCATTAAACGTGAGGGTGGCATTGTGAAGTAGACATCAGGAAATGGATGGAACCCAACTCATTTAAAATAGGCCACTAAAGATCTGTCAGAGTGTAGAGACTTTGGATATGTCTATGCTGCAATCGAACGCATATCACAACTTGCGTAGACATACACACACCAGCTTTCATCTGCTAGCATGGCTAAAAACAGCAGTAAAGATACAGTGGCAGGGTTTGGCCCTGGCTGTGCAAGCCCACCCAGAACCTCAGGTATGTACTTGCCTAGCTAGCCTGAGCCAGGGTCCGTGCCATCACATCTCCACTGCTATTTTTAGCTGTACTAGCTAAACTAAAGCTAGTGGTGTACGCCAGGCTGCATTCACACCTACCCTTTGTTACATCTTATCTGGCCCCGGCTAGCAGGATAACAACCCAAGATAAAAAGGTCCACATACCGTTAACAATCCAACCTGACCCATTTAGCCCCCTCTGGCAGATTTTTCTGCCCTTTTGAAAACGTCATGACATATAGCACCTATAATTTTGAAGGATCCCAAAATACTCTGTGAAAAACATTTATAAACATAGACCATATAGGTGTCATATTATACAGTGCTGAAACGCAGCCAGCTCTGGAGCAAAACCCAGCAACTGCAGAGCAGTGCACAGAAACGTTACACACCAATCTTGGACAGGAAACAAAGACGACTCTTATGGCCACTATAATTAAAAAGATTGGGAAAATGCATCTTCCCCTTCATTTTTCCTCTTTGTTTACTGTGTATTAGGCAGCACCTTGTACACAGTCAGTTTCACCCTTCCCTGTGTGGTCAGTGCTTTCTCCAGCTGGTCGGCTGGGTTCTCCACCCAGGAGCAGGGTCGGTAACAGTTTTAAACACAGAACAGCAGGACTGTGAAGCCACCCACGTTGGCACGGGTGGGTCGGGGTGGCTGGAGTGTCTGAAACCACTTTCCCCCCTTGTTCTAATGAGCTGGGCAATGCTGAGTTGTCCGGGCCCCTTTTGGGAAGAGGCACAAAGCCTGACTCCCCGAGGCGGCGGTTCGAGCCGCAGTGGGGGACCCGATCCGGGGGGGGGGAAATATCGCTCGCTATGTCAACCCCCCCACCCTTCACGAATGGCACAAGTTGGGGGTGCCTCGCGAGCAAAAGGAGACAGGACCCAACTCACACTGAACCTCTGACCCACGTGCCCGGCCACTCCCCCACCACCTACCTACCCACCCTCAGACAGGCCTGGCCTCCCTCCCCAACCCCGCACAAGACAGGCCAGGCCAGGCCAGGCCTGGCCTCCCTCCCCAACCTACCCCATCCCCCGCCCCCTCCCTCCAACAGCACCGCCGCCCCCCCCCCCAGGCCGCCGCCGCCCCCGACAGCACCGCCCCCCCGCCCCAGGCCACCGCCGCCCCCGACAGCACCGCCCCCGCCCCAGGCCGCCCCGACAGCACCGCCCCTCCCCCCAGGCCGCCCCCGACAGCTCCGGCCTCCCTCCCCAGGCCGCCCCCAGACAGCTCCGGCCCCCACCGCCCCCAGACAGCTCCGGCCCCCACCCTCCCCTCAGGCGGCCCGGCCCGATCACCTCGATGTAGCTCTCCTCGTCCAGGATCCTCTTACGGCGCTTGGGGGGCTCCTGGGCCGCTTCCCGCAGCACAGCCACGGCGGCCCCGTCGGCCTGCAGGGGCACCAGCGCCAGGGGCGAGGCGGCGGCGGTGACGGGAGCCCTCGGCTCCTCCATCGCGCCAGGCCGGGGATCGCTGTCAGCCAGGGCAGGGGGCGTCCGCAGCTTCTCGGGGCAGGAACGGACACGGCCAGAATCGGGGGGGGAGCTTGGCCCTTCCCAGCCACCGTCGCAACGCGCCGCTTGTTGGGACTTGTAGTTTTCTTGTCGCGCGCACGTCCCGCTTCCAGGCCGGGGCAGCGCCTGGAAAGCCTAGAGCGGCGGGCTAAAGAGAAACCACAGAGAGCGGCTGGAGCGTCGCAACGGGAGAGCGCGCCCCCTGCCGACAAGGATGAGGAAGGGGCGGCCTAGAACGCATGCGCGTCATGGAGCACCGCCCGTGAGCTCGGGGCGGACTTTCCCTCAGTTTGATAGCAGCTAAGATTTCCAAAGGGGCCCGCCCGCGCCTCCTTGGGAGATGTTTCACTTGAGCCTGGGCTCTGGTTCACACGGACGAATGGAAGGGAGGGAGGTTTTATTTAAAGGCCTTCGCAGTCACTTTTTAGGATTCAGACAATGGCAGACTGATGTCACACTAAAGCACAAGGCTGAATACAGTGATGCTTTGCCTAATTTGCAGAGTTGACTTATTGATTCTATAGATACTCTGCAGCTGGCCTGCAAATATTAATCCTATCATTTCTGAAAACTAAAAAGCAATCTACAGGACTGAATGGAACACGCACACCAGAGTTTCCTGCCAGAAACACGCAATTGAAAGTAAAAATTTCATGGCAGTATGTTAACTTATGTACTATCTTTGTAAGTCACAGATGGCAGGAGCTACTGCTTGTAAGTACTGCACTGAGGCTAAATACCCAGGCAGGGCAGAATTCAATTTGTATTTTTTTTTTTTTTGTAATTTTGATGGAGAATATCAATGTTATTTTTAAATATGTTCTCTATTTTTATCCATTTAAATTTTCACAGTTAGCTTAAAACCATAATTTTGTGTATTTTATTTGGATCTATTTACATTTTTGCAGTTGCAGGAAGTCTGGAGGGTCAAACAATCATTATTTATTGACAGTAGACACTGAGATATACAAAGTTAAAACTTTACAACCGTTAAAACACAAATTGTCCAGATCACATGTCAAAATATACAAAGTAAATATTCTTAAATTAAACTTAAGTTCTCAAGCAGCATTTTCATTCACTTTACCCATCAGTGAATTTTGATTATTATCAATGGAAATATTTTTTCAGTGGTTTGTATGTGTTCGGTGCCATAGACATTTACTGATAATCCAATCCTGCCAAGCCTCTATATATCTTTGAAAAGATGGATATTCCGTTAATGTTCAATTCAAGTTTTTCAGGTAGTTTGCTTGGGGGAAATAGATTAGTATTATTTTGCCTGTATGTGTGTCCTATCCTGAAACAAGATGACAATTCCCAGCATTCAAACCCTGGATATGTTATCCCCTAGCCGTGCCCCACACCCTGGCCAGCGCTCCCAACTTTCAGGGCTGCGCTCTTCAGCTGCAGTTCCCCGGTAGAGCAAGTTCTCCACCAGAAAATGGCATCACTCAGGCTTAACTCAATATCCTTGTGTTGAAAATTCTACACTAGTGTGTGGCTCTTGGTGTGAGCCCTGCAGCACAGAAGGAAGGCAAAGGTGCTGTGGAGTGCAAAGTGTTATTTACAGTGATAGAATCTTTGTGGACTTATTTCAGAATAGCAGCCGTGTTAGTCTGTATTTGCAAAAAGAAAAGGAGTACTTGTGGCACCTTAGAGACTAACCAATTTAAAGTTACTTCTTTTGTCAGGAGCATCATGTTTGGCAAGCTCAATGCCAGGGCTCCAATCCCAGTACCAGCCTTCTCCCCAATACATTTATTTATGAATCTTTTATTTTACAGACAGCTTGAAAAGAACTCCAGCAGCATTTACTGCACATACACACCCCATTACCCACAATTATCATGGAGGGATCCAAGTCTGAAGACAAAAGGGAATCTGTCTGCAAGGAATAAAACATAGAATGGAGATGGAAATCAGGAATGATTCTTCAAAAGCTGGCTAGCCTTGTAGGACGTTGCCAATTATCATCCTTAGGTAGGTGAGGTAATATCTTGGGAGACAAGCTCTCACCAACAGAAGTTGATCCAATAAAAGATATTACCTCACCCACCTTGTCTCTTTAATGTCCTAGGACTGCCATGGCTACAACCCTGCACACAGTTATCATCCTTAGCGTTTACACAGCAGGTGGGGCAGATTTTGCACCACATAGACAGTTCTGGGGCTGAAGCTTTCCTCTGTGCTGTTGTGAAGCCCAACACACCACTCTAGACCCGAAAGCAAGGTCCTAGTGCATGAGAACCAGAATGGGAAACTGACAGATCTAGCTGAATTATCCAGCTGAGTGAAACACACACAAAAAGGAAACAACCAGCTTCTCTGGTGAAATACAGCCTTCTATCAGTACAAACTCTAGTGGATACCCATAGCAGCGGGTGCTGCTTTTCCTCTGCAGTGCTACAGTTTAGTTTTCATTTCTCTTTTGCCCTTTTGTTTGGGGTTGGCAACTGCTGTTGCCCCATTCCAGGCACCCAACCCACATTGTGACCAGAGCAGCTACAGAGTGGTCGGGCATGGAAAGAGAAGATTGCGAAGTATACAAATGGCTTTGTCTGCACTAACAACCAACTGTACCCCAGCCATGCGTTAGCACAGGTTAGTTGAAGACGTTAGTCTGAAAGTACTATGAGTACTTTGATGCCCCCTACTCCGTACATGAATGAATTTATTTTGAAGAATGCAAATAAAGCCTGTTAGTTTGTTTAAGGAATGAGCTGTGTAATTCGTCAGTTTCTACCTTGACCCCAAAATGCAACTGTAGACACCACCATGACACTGTAAAAACAATATAAACCCAGGCCATTTTCCGGAATAGTCTCCGAATCTACTATATAACAACAAAACAGGCACAACGCGATCTGTACAGGAACAAAGACAAGTTGAGAGAAATCCTTCTCCATCATCCACATATGCAACTACAATACTAACATTGAAGCAAGCTCTATCCCCGCCTTCAGCATTTGGCAACTTTTCGGCTTACGTGCCCTATGACTCATTTGTTTTATTTGTCATGAGATGAACTTTGTTCGGATGAAAAAGCTAAGGACTTGAAAATACAGCACCTACCTTTACCTGCCCTTTACCTCATCGAATCAGAAGATTCCCTCACTGCTTTCCCTCTCCAGCCCCCCTCCTCTTCCATCTGTCCCACCTGGCTGTGAAACCAGTGGAACAGGGCAATGGATGCTTTTCACAGTAGCCCAGTGAGACTTAGTGTCAGTCCCTTAGCAGTTCTCCTCTGAGGGTTTCTTGGTGCCTTGAAGGAGCAGAGCCGAAGTAGAAGCTCTTTTCTGATGCCTCCACTTGGCCCGTCGATTTTTAAACCAAACCTAGACATTTAATAAAAGAAATGCAACATTTATCTCCAGCCTCCATGAAACGCCCCAGGCCTGAAAGCAATTGGCATTTACAACTTTGGATTTTACAGCATGACGGGAAGTTCTAGGATTTGGCAGCATGTTCTACTCTGGTTATGAAGGCTGCCCACACAGGTTACTCAGGACAAGAGCCACCTGAGGACTCCCTCCCTGGCGTTCATGTTCAGTTTCAAGGTGGGCAGGTGAGCCAGGAATCCCAATGGTAAACAAAAGCGTTATGCAGAACGTGAAAATATTTGAGAGCAGGGCAGTGACCGCAGAGTTAAGCAGTGTGTGCGTGCGCGAGCGTGCGCAAGAGTGCCTGTGAGTGTGTCGGGCCATAAAGACAATGTGTGAGTGTTCTGCACACACCCATTGTGTACTGGCTTTATCCTATGGCTCACAGAATTTACAATGTGTTTTTTAAATTGCACTTTGAGGTGCTACAACTGGAGCCTCCTGAGGAGGCTTTAAAATGGCTCCTGAATCAGATTCCTCTTTATTTTTTTTAGTAAACAGGGACAAAAACTTTTTTGATCTCTGTAGTGTGGAAGAATTTCACCTCTACTCTCTCCTCCTTCAAGTGGATGCGGTTGGCCAGGTGCTCTCTGGTGATGACATCTGGGTACTGGTTCTGGTTGAAAAGGGCCTCCAGGGCCTGTAGCTGATCTTCAGTGAAGATGGTCCGGTGCCGGCGGGTCCGCCTTTGGATCTGATGGAAGGTCTGCAGCTCATTCTGGCTCCCACGAAGATTCTTACATGCCCTGGCAGTGGGATGAATTAGCCTCATGGGCCAGGGGAACCTGGTGTCTAATAAAAGGAGAGTTAGAATTTACGAGTTTGATTACAGAACCAAAACAAACCAAGCACTCTCTGAAGAAAGGCCTGCCCCCCTTCAGTTCCATGTTGGCTGAAGCTGGAGGCAGCTCAGACTCTGCTTGAGCTCCTCTGGGTGATTCATGATGGATCAGCATTGACTGGCTTTGGACAGAGCCACATTCAGCCCCCTTGGATGAAATGAAAGCATGGCTGCCATGATGTGAGGCCTTGGGTAGGAGACAGTGATTGACTAGAATCCTCTAGGTTCCAGGAGAGGCATAGAGTTGAAGGGCAGAAGGGACCACCAGATCATTTAGTCTGTATATCACAGGCCACCAACACCTCCCAGCACCTGCACACTAAACCCAACAACTTGGAAGAAGGTATTCCAGCCCTCAGGATACTAGACGTCTGTGTGCCACAGGCAAAGAACAGGAGGGACTGAGGTGCACCAGTGCCTGAGGCCTCTGCAATGGCAGGGAAATGAGATGCACCCAGATATCCTAGCAAGCAACCTGCACCCATATGCTGCAGAGGAAAGTGAAAAACTCCCAATGGCCTCGCCAGTCTGACCTGGGAGAAAATTCCTTCCCGACCCCACATGTGACAATCAATTAGACCCTGAGCATGTGAGCAAGAACCAGCCAGCTGAGCACCTAAGAGACAGAATGCTTGGTGCCACCTCAGAGCCCTGGCCAGCCCCAGCCAGTGTCTCCCCTCCAGCTCTGGGGCTGTCCCCGATGCTTCTGAGGAAGAAGACAAAAAGAAGAAAGAGGAAAAGACAAAAAGGATCCAAGGATTCCACTCGGGAAGGGTGAAGGAATGCTGGCTATGTTCTCCTGGTTTAGTGCCCAGCTGCAGGATTGCCAACCACAAGCTTTAAAATGGGTCAGGCTCCCAAAACCCATGAGATTGGATTCAAAGCTACAAAATGGTTTAATATAATAAATCTGGGATTCTTTTTATTTGTCTTGTGGTTTGTTAGCCTTCAGGATGCACTTGGACCACATTTTCAAGCTTTTCTCTGCAATCAGGAGGGCTAGAAACAAACTTTTCTTTTTCAAATGAAAAGGTGAGATTTTCACTGAACCTCCTCATTTCAGGAGCCTGGGGCTTTAAGAAAAACACCCGAAGTCATGAGAGTCAGCAGCACTCCAGTAGGGTCCCAAGCTCCATTCCAGCAGATCCAACCCTACCCTCACCGCGCAACTCAAGGGTATATCCAAAAAATCTAAGAAGATTTAACCGGAAGTCTCTCTCTCTCTCTCTCTCCCCAGAATCCAGGAGGATTGTAGAGTGTTCGGAAGCAGCAGATATCTGCATCAATTAACTCTGCAGAACTCAAGTGGTATCAAAAGGGATGGGGGAATTCCAGGAAGGGTCAGGAAAGAATACCTTCCAACCTGAGCTGGGGTTAACTATGGGTTCCCATTAGGACTCGGGACAGCAATCTCAGTGCATACACCAGTGTCCACGGGCTGCTGGCCAAGAGTAGGCAGGGGAGGCAGTTCCTGACCTGTTTTTCAGAGGTCTGCAGAAACCTCCCTGCGAGGCAGATGAAAAGGAAAGCAGCAAGAGAAAAGGGACCTGGCCCACAGAAAACAGTGATGCTATCAGCTTTGCTTTCCCACTGTGAAATGTTACCAGCTTCTAAGGCTAATGAGGGGCAGCCCCTTCATTGGCAGTGGCTTCAGGTCTTTACCCCCAGAGAGCCTCACTGGAGTTTGTAAAAGCTAAGGGCCCTCTACTTTGAGGTATTGAGCACTCTGAGCTTTCACTGAGGTCACGGGGAGCTGAGGGTGCTCAGAGCCCTTCAGCCAGCCGTTGATATGTCACAGGATTGGGTCCATGCTCGCAGAAGGATAAAGGAAAGAGACAGACTGGACAGCCAGTGTTTGTCTTTGTGGTCATGTTGGATTGCAGGACTGGTTAGATTACAGCAAGAATCCACAGGTGGTTTTGGGGTCCCTGGTAGGAAAAGACTGTCCCAAGTAATGCAGATTACACTAGCTTTTCATATCTGGGCACTCATGTTGTGGTCTCAAGTGAAACAGCTTTGGTGGTCTCCATGCAATGGACCATGGAGACTACTCCATAGCACAAACCCAAACTCAGAATGTTATATGAAAATCAGAGTAAGTTCTCCCATGCTCACACTCAAAGTAATGGCATGAAACTCACAGTCATAGAGAGTAATGAGGAAAAAATGCCTTTTCCTTTGGTCTGAGGTTGTATTTGCCATCAGGTCTGCAAGTCCATTTTGGAGGATGCTTACCAGTAAAAATCAGTTTAAACCCAAATCTGGGAGACTTTATCATAACTACCTGTAACTAAGAAATCTCTGCGTGTTCTTTTTTTCTTTACTGTGCCAGGAATTATGCAATAGCTGTTCCAGAACTAACTGATTTAGAAATATAACTTTTTTTTACATATAATGAAACAGAAGTGTTATCACTTAAGTCACTCCGATAATAATGAACCAAATCCTGGATACTTTACTTAAGCTTTACTCACTGGCTACAACTTTTAGCCCAATAATACTGTTTAGATCTTATACCGTGTTCTTCATCTTCAAAGTGCTTTACAAATGATAACTAGTCATTTTAAAACAATGGTTACGCTGTAATAATATAAAAAATAAATTATTGCTAATAATCTAACATCTTAAATGTACATAGCACCTTTTGTCCCAAAGCACTTTACACACTTAAACTGAGATACAAATTCCATACATGAACCACTTCATCTGCCCTAAAATGCAGCCACTCTTGGAGTGAACTACAGCAAATAGGCCCTGATTCCGCTAAGTACTTGAGTGTACTTAACTTTAAACACATGCTTAAATGCACATCCGTCCTGTACAAACCATAGGCACAAGGAGCAATATCCAGCTGAAACTGTTGCAGGGATGTAGTTTGGCAGAATATAGTTACCCGCAGTAGATCAACATCTCTACCGTTGCAACAAATGCCATAGGTTCATTGATGACTATCAGAATTTAGGACCTTCCTTCTTTATCTTAGAGAGCAGCAGCCCAGTGCCATATTAAAACAATGCTGGGGTGTTGATACAATTGTGCCTTGGAAAGAAGTGTACCAGCTACTGAATCACCTACGTTATATCCTGCAACAACCACGCTGTTCCTTGGAGCCCTGCATCGGAGAACTGACCTTTCCCAAGTTTGCCCCATGCATGATGACATGCAGGCCAAAATGCAGTAATGTCACTATATTCCCAGGTTTTGCTACTTTACAGTGTTGGTGCCCTCATGAGTGCCAGCTGCAATGTCCCTTCCCACCCGCCCCGCCGCGCCGCCTATGGGATCCACACAATGACTCATAAAACAGGAGAATACTTACCTAGCCAATTTGAAGAATCCTGCAGGGAACGGGTGCTTGCATGAGAACAGCAACAGCAGCTGCACCCAGCCGCTTCCAGTTCTTCTTCCTCCTCCTCCTCCTGCAGAGAGCCAGCAGCGATGGCCTCCGGCCCACACAGCCCCTTGGGCTCACAGTCCAGGATCCCCTGGAGACAGAACGGGACCAGAACCTGGGGACTTCTCTCTGTTGGGCTGGAGAGAATGTTCTCGATGGTGAACGAGCATTGCTTCTTGAGGCTTCTTCTGCTGAGCTCTGTGTCCAACGGGGCTTCTGAAGACATCCTGTTCCTGGAACTGTAGTTGTGGCACTTGGCAGCTCACATTCAGCAGCTGAAAACAGTGGGGCTTACTCTCTGCGAGAGACCAAACTGTGGCTCCCCAGCAAAAAGACGGCTTACACTTGGATGCTTTTTAAACCAGACCAGTGATGCCAGACAGAATTATTGTTTTGTCTTCTCTTTAAAGCGATTGTCATTCTTGCACCTGGGATTTTTATTTTATATATACACATACATGCCTTTTTATTCCCTTCTAAGCTAGCTGCTTTATAACTGAGGCCACCCTAAGTAAATATATATATATATAATCCCTTTGGAAAGAAAACCGTAAACCCCCCTGCGAATAAAATAAATTCTAACTAATCTTGGCAGCTTTGTGAAGGGTTAGTGTGGATCTAAGATTTAGCTAATCCTACAGAAATGACTCCAGAAGGAAATCTGATTTCTCCATCTCAAGTGTAGATTTGAAGGTGGGTATGATCTCCATTGTGTTGGAGCCTCTGATTCAAGGCAGGGGGAGAATAGCTGTTCTCCAGCCCAGAAATGGACCAGAGGATTAACTCCTTACAAGAGGCAAATTATCCCTTTCTCTGGCCAAATGAAAGCTTGCCCATCAAAAGGGAACTGTCATATCATACAATATGAGCAAGGGAGGGGAGCTGAATTTGGGGGGGGAGGGAATCATTTTTCGCAGCAGTGCACCCTTCGCTAGGTGAGGACTCCCCATGACTGCTGATTTATTTTCCGCTCAGACCACAGGAAAACTGTATTTTTCCACACTGTCCAAGTAATAACAATACGACAGATACTTTGTATTATATAGTATGCTTCATAGGAGGATCTCTAAGTGCTTTATAAAAAATTAATTAGGCTCACAACCACTGTTCCCTCTAAGCGCTGCACGCCCATGCAGATCCTAAACCCCGCGCACACGGCAAAACCCCGCACGCACAAACATTTGCACAGAAGCCCAACAGTTTGCACAGAAGACATTTTTTGCGCACACGGCCTGTCAAAAATTAGAGGGAACATTGCTCACAACACTCCTGTGATGTAGGCAAGTGGTATGTAAAAGGGCTCATCTCACTCACCCACCATTGAGGTGGAACATATCAGCTTTATCCCAGGGCACAGCCATACCACATTCAAGCTGAGAAGAAGTGACGATGAATACTGAACTGCAGGGAGAATTTAGGGAGCTAGACACTCCAGTCACTCAAACTGGGCCATGACACCAGAGTTAACATTCTGTTCTTACAAAATATGCCATGGGATCTTTAATGACCAGGATGTAGTCACAGCCTTATGTCCAGTATTGTCAACCACGAGCGTTCAAAAATCCCGTCACAGTCCCAAATATCATGAGATTTTACAAGTATTACATTTTGGGTTCTTTCTATTTGCCTTCTTGTTTTTGAGCCATTGGGTGGAGAGGGTCATATTTTTAAGCTTTTCTCTGCAGCCCTGAGGGCTAGAAACATTGCTTTATTAAATGAAAGCTGGGATTCTTACATGATAACTTGGCTCCAGGAACTGACGCTTTCGGAAAAATGTCAAATATCACGAGACTTGCAATACAATCACAAGAACCGGCAACAGTGTCTCATCTAAAAACAACACCGTCTGCTGCACTGTGCCTCCCAGACCATGCCAAGGCATTGGGTAAATAATAGCTAAGAGAGAATTAATTATTTCTTGAAGGTCTCCCATCTAGGTACCATTGCAGCTTGCTCCATTTAGCTCATCAAAACTAACGGGATCAAGGCACAAGATATGGCCACAGACAATGAGCCACTGGTAGTTCTTTCCCAAAGTCTCTCTACTTTTTTCAGTATCACCTGTTACGGAGCAAGTATTCTCTTTTCAGATGCTTCGGGCCCTACAGCTTGACACACAAGGCCAAAGGTGGGATCCTGCCTTCATTTGGCCTTTTCACTTCCTGGAGTCTGTTGCAATTGGTCACAAATGGTGTCACTCTCTGTTCACACATCTGGAATTAGATTTGCTGCTCCATTCTGTCACATCAGCACTGGGGAGGGGATCCAGGGACTTTAGTACTGTGTCAATGGTGTCAGATTAGGTCGACCCAGAGGGATTAAGGCCCCTCTGTGCTGTGTTGGTGGCATGGAGCTTCATCACCAAAGTAGAATAAGCCAGAGGGACTGGGGACCCTCAGTGTCATGTCAATGGTGCTGGGATCGTGGTACCAGATTAGGTCAACCCAGAGGTCAACGTAGTTACAGGGCAGGGCTGGAACTGTTACTGCACAGCAGATGAAGCAGATGACAGATAGAATGGTCTTATTCTGGTTTTGCTAATAGGAAACATGAATAAGCTGGGGGAGAAAGAGAGAAAGTAAAAGGTGCTTATCCAGTATAGGTACTTGATGTCATCAGGAGGACACCTCACGTGGCCAGTCTGAAATCTCAGTCTTCTCCCACACAGATTTTTTGGCTTTCAGGAAGTGAAGTGGTTAACAAAATCAGTCTCTTTTATCCAATTAGGAAGTTGTCCACTGGGCTGGTCACTTTCAAAAAGCGGATGTGGACCAATCAGGACACAATTCATTCTTCTTACAAAAATCTAAAATGACCCAACGGAACATAAGTCATGATCCATAAGTCATCGCCTCACCATCCAGTGAGAAAACAGGGAACCCTCTTCAGATTTTTTATTTTATTGTAATTATTTTTCTTTAATTTAATTTTATTTATTTATTTATTTTTGGTAGTTGCTTACTATTGCTCAGTGTGTTTATCCCTGGAAAAATCCATAATCCTAAAGTGCAAAACATCTTGGCCACAGCAGTCTGCAGACATTTTTTAAGAGTGACACCAAAGACCTTAAACCCTCTCATATCAGGTTATGGTCAACAGCCTGCCTTCACAAGATGTTTTCCATGGTCATTTTCTGGATGTTGTCCTTTGGTCAGCGTTGCATATTTCTCTTTGTCCTTCAAGTTGCAGTTTCTCTCAGCATTTTTAAGGGACAATTTACAAATGTCCATTTTAAAGTTCTCAAGGTCATCTATGCAAACCGCTTAACAATCCTTTGCAAAATTCTTTAAATTTAAATTCTTTAAATTCTTTTCATTCATTATGCAGCAGTATAAAGTCACTTAAGAAAACGATTTTCTCCATCAGGATGAAACAGCTGTATAGATCTTCCACTTTCCATTTTCTTAGTCAGTGACGCTAGTAAGATCCTTATATGAACTGTTGAGCTGTGTCTATGTAATTATACTAATCAAGCAGTTAACCAGGCCTCTCTGATGACTAGCTCTATAACCAAGTTCCTCTGTAACCCATTACTCGATTTCAGTGTCTCTTTATTACTGCGTTTTCCAGTATACGCAAAAAGAAAAGGAGTACTTGTGGCACCTTAGAGACTAACCAATTTATTTGAGCATAAGCTTTCGTGAGCTACAGCTCACTTCATCGGATGCATCCGATGAAGTGAGCTGTAGCTCACGAAAGCTTATGCTCAAATAAATTGGTTAGTCTCTAAGGTGCCACAAGTACTCCTTTTCTTTTTGCGAATACAGACTAACACGGCTGTTACTCTGAAACTTTTCCAGTATAGGTATATTTCACCTGACGTGTAATAAATAAAAGTACACTTGATTACAAATATGCTCAGTGCTTCACTCTCTCACTATTTCCTTCAAGTAAATATTAGCATAACCTCCTTGCTTCTCCTAACAGGACTCCCCATGGGAAAAATAGCACCTTGCACAAGGTTTGATTAACATTTTGGTCAATTTCCTTTTACATACAACTTTGATCCACCAAAACAAAACTTTTATAAAGGCCAGTTCCTTACATTTTTTCAGGCAATGCTATATGACGTCTTCCCATTGAATACTGATAGTTCCGTTCACTGACTCAAAGCAAATTGCGTAAAGGAGAACGCCACGTCTCAGATGTATTAAGGGTGGTTAATAGGCTCTCTCCTGGCTGTCCAGAGACACATTTATGTGAAGGGCTGAAGAAATCCTCCCCTCACTTCTTAGATTCTTTTTTTCTCCTGTGTGGGGTGAATACATTTTCTCTTACAAATACCTGAGTTTCTGGGTAATTCTGTATAACAGTAATTCACATTTCTGGGGCCATATTTGTTACAGTGCACTTACATTACTGGCATCAACTTTTCCTTTTGAAATATTTTAAAGTCTCCTGAAGTTCAGGAAAGCGTTAGTGAGAGCGAGCAGCACATTGGTCAACAGTGCGGGATCTGTTTCTGCAGCCCGAAGAGGCAGAGCAGAGTGTGCATACACAAACCATTGAAAGATGGCGCCAAATGCAGACGGAAGCACAGGAATTGCTGGGATGCGAAGCGATGCATCACGGGGCATTGGGACAGGACCCGACCCCCTCCGCCTTCCCACAACTCTTAGCGGCAGAAGAGGAAGAGAGGCTCTGTGGGATACCTGCCCAGAGTGCACCGCTCCGAATGCCGCTGCAAGTGCCGCAAGTGTGAACACTATTGTGCAGACAGCTGACAGTGTGAACACACAACGGCGGTTTCCCTTTAGCGCTCTCTGAGCCGCGCTGTAACTACCAGCGCTGTAACTCAGCCAGTGTAGACATACCCTCAGAGTGAATTTGTACTGAACAGAGGGTTCTCCAGGAAAGAGAAGCCCTCTGGCATTACCCTGGGAAATCTCTCCATGTTTGAGCCTTCTTGAGAGCCACTCCATCCACATACCTCATGAACATTCTCCCTCTCTACTACCCATCTGTCTCCTTTCTCTCATCTACTTTCTCATCTCTATACCTACTTTCTCTCTGACTCTCCTCACTATCTGATCACTGACGGAGTGAAAACCTTCTCCTCTTCCACTCCTGATATCTGAGGAAGCCTCCCTATAGCTTTCTGCCAATTGAGTCTCCCTTTCTTTTCAAATCTCCCTAGAAAACACAGATCTTTTGGCTCAAGTATATAAGTATCTTTGCTCCTTTTCCTTTCTTTACCTCTTAATATCCTTCTCCCTCTGCTACTCT